ACAATTTCTCATGAAGGGCAGAGCAATAGTTTAAGAAAACTTTGTACTTTCAACAAAGAGAAAACAAAAACTTTGCACCAGTGTATTTTTGGTATTAAAACTTATTTACTTATTTGAATTTATCTTAATCTCAGTGAGTATTGACCACACATAAAGTTTCTTTCCAAAGAGTCTTTGTCCATAAACCTACAAATTTCTTTATTTAATACTCAGATTTTGACCTAAATTTTCCCTCTAAAATAACCAGTCTTGCTTTAACACTTGCTTTTCCCTCAACAAGTATGTAGTTTTATTACTCATATTTCTTCTTGCCAAAAACGCATATCTTACTTTCCTCACATAGAGTTGTTATTTCCAGTAGTCTTAATTACATTTCTTAAAATTCTTAATACTTAAAAACCTTAATTTCTAGTGAAAACTAGTAAGCAATTGTGAACTGTTACAACAGAACTCTTCAGGTTGGCAAATTTATGAATCTGTTTCATTATTTTTAGAAACATGTATTTTTTATAATACAATCTTTCAGTAAAGCATAAAATATGTTTATTAACAGACCCAAATTCATCTTTAGTTTCTCTGTAATAAAACAAAAATAGATAAACATGTTCAGTACTTAATGTTTCATTATTTTATTCAGAAGAGATCTAGATTATCAACAAGCTTAACTTTACTCATCATTTGACTTAGCAAAACTATAAAATTTTAGCTTTCCAAAGACTTTGGAAGCTATTTACAAGTTTACCTACAAAACTTTTTATTTTATTTTATTCTACCCACAAAAACATCATGAGGCATTAGACAGAATCAACCATTATTCTAAGCTTTTTTCTTTCTGACAAATTTTGCAACAGAAATACCCTGAACTTATTTGACTTTTAGTAAACAAAAGCAGAATAAAAATTTTATGTTTAATGGTGATAATTCTAAAAACATGTCCATTTTAATTAAACCAACAAACTTAATTTAGCTTTAATACCAAATATTTTCCCAGATTACATGAATTTTAAAAAGATTTGGATTAGTTTCTAACTTTCTGGATGTTAGAATGCCCAATCTTTATAAGCATGTGCCTTCAAACAAACTAAATAGAGTTCTTCTACGTATTAATTATAGCAATACCATCCAGAGGTAGAGAAAATATCTCACATTAAAACATACATGGACACACTCAAACCACAAAATACAGATAAGATATAAACAAAATTTGGATATTTGTGGAGAGGACATTATAGGCTCAATTTTTTTTTTTTTAAGATTTATGTATTTATTTTAGAGAGATCAAGCGTTAGGAGGGGCAGAGGGAGACGGAGGGAGAGAATCTCAAACAGACTCCACACTGAGCTCAGAGCCCAATGCCAGACTCAAAATCACGACCCTGAGATCATGACCTGAGCTAAAATCAAGAGTCAGACACTTAACCAACTGAGCCACCCAGGCACCCCGAGGCCCAATTTTTAAATAGTTCCATCTATCTATCTACTTTTATGAAAAACCTTTCCCTAAAGTTTGCATGTCAAAAAGACTGGCTCCTGGATCGTAGAGAAGATGGAAGTAGAAAATTTATATCAAAATCAGAGGGGTGCCTGGGTGGCTCAGTCGTTAAGCGTCTGCCTTCAGCTCAAGTCATGATCCAGGGTCTCGGATCGAGCCTCGCGTCCCGCTCCCTACTCCCGCGGGGAGTCTGTTTCTCCCTCCCCCACTTCCCCACTCCCCCTGCTTGTGTTCCCTCTCTCACTATCTCTCTCAATGTCAAATAAATAAATAAAATCTTAAAAAAAAAAAAAAAGGCAAGGAGAGTGTATGTAAGTTTTCTCGAAGGTGCATATTTGGAGCATTTCTGCATGTTATTGTAGGTGCAGTAGTCTAGGCATAAAAGCCCTTACAGAAGTTTGCACTTTAAAAAGCCCTCTTTCTCCGCCCACCCTCACCTACTCCCCCACGCCCCCAGCCCCTCCACCCCCTTTTCTTTTCTATTCTAAATTCAGTCTCAGGAGATTGTGGGATGTGTTTACATTTCAAAGACATGATAAGATTTATAATTTCAAGGGACAGAGAAAGAAAGCAAAGACATTTTTTCCTAGAGTTTCAGGGTAATTGCCATTTAGAAACTTACTCCCCCCCCTTTTAAAATCCAGAACAATTTTGTTCCAATATCCTATTTTTTTAAATAGTATCCACAAACATCTTGAAAGGAATATGCAAGGTTTGGAGATTGGTAAAGATAGGAGGGCTTTAACTTGTTTCTAGAGTTGTAGAGATTTTTTATAGAGATTTGTAAAATAAGGACAGAAGAACTGGATTATAGTCTGAATATCAAGGGATTGGCCCATCTTTTTAACTGAATTTGCTTCTTTATATCACAGAAAATTTTAACTAGAACGGAAACCAAAATATTTATACCTTTGTAAAGTCTATCTAAAGCATTTTAACAAAAGCCTTCTTTTTCTGGGTACACAATTTAAACTTGGCTTCTTTTAGCTCTTAAATATTGGCATTTTGCAAATCATTTATAGGATGGCCTAGGTGATATTTTGGTTATATATTTCCTCAGAAGGCAAAGTTGTGAATATAGTCAAGTAATCTTTCTAATTCCTCTCTAAATTTGGTAGGATCTTTTGAAAGTAGAGGTAAAGGGGCTTTATAATTTAAAAGCTCTGCTGTTGTGCAGGGAGACACGATTTTGTTGTTGTGTTATGGGTGCGGGGAGGGCAGGGAGGGCAGTGGTTCTAGGATACTCCTGCAAAGGGCATTGTATAGGAATGCTTGAGGCTTGGCAGAAGCTGACTACAGAGCCCAGGCAGGCAGGAGCAAAGCGACCCTTATTGCTAGTCTCCTGCTGCTTTTGTTAAACTCTTTTTCTGGCTTTCAGCATTTACCTGAGCAACCTATATACTTTGAACCTAGAGATTAGGCCAGAGTGATCTCTGTAGATCTTGTAGGAAAGAGGAATTAAAATAGGCAGATGCAGCCAAATTTTAATGAGAATTTACATTGGTTGTGGACATTTCTTTTTGTCTTGTGTCTGATTTCTGTTCTTTTATCTTGTCAATGGAGTCCCTAAGGTGAGCCATTATAAAACAACTGAGAGCTCCTTATTATATATATATATATATAATATATATATTAAATACAGCCAATTTAAAGGACCCATTGTAAAAATAAATAAAGGATCCATTGTGTCACCATTGATAAGTAGGATCTATTAATAGTGATTTAAACCAATAAGCCTTTTAATGGCTTAACCAAAGACACAGTAGGTGTCCAGAGAGGGCACAGATGATTCAGCCCACACCCTCCACCATTCCAAAATTTTACTTATGAAATTGGTCTAAGAAAGCAAAAGCTTTCATTGCACAGATGGTAAGGATGGTATAATGAATGTCTCTGGTGTCGCACGAAAATGTGACACATCTCCAGTCACACACCCACTAATCTATGATACCAGGTGGGCGCTTCTGGAATGGGACTTTCCAGCACCAACAAGCAAGGAATGTTGAAACAACAAAGATTCCTATGGGCTGGAACCTCTCATGACAAGCACCCTGAGAGGTGACACAGCTGGACAGAGAGAAAATCTGATCCCCAATCTATTAGACTGGCCATCAAAGTGCACCCTGGTAAGTGCACCCTCCAGATGGTGGAGACCAAAGAGAATATTCACATTAGTCAAAAGCCAAGCTCTTAGGACATAGAACAAGACAAAAGGAAAATATTAACAGATTTAAGCCTTGGGTCTCCTGGAACCACACTGATACCCAGGAGGTATTTGCTGTGGGGTCGGGACTGCGTGTTGTTTTATAGTGCACTAACTTCACGGAAGTTTACTTGAGGTTGGGGGTGACCTAGTGTCAATATAACCCTTTCCGTGACCTGCGTATCCTATCTTGGGAGTCTTCCTGAGCTAGCCAGCTCTCTAACAGCTTTCAAGTGCTCAACCCATGCCCACAAATTATGGGGCATTGGCTTCCAAGAAGTCCCTTAGCAACAGACCACAAAAAACACAGAAGACGCAAAGGAAAACAGAGAACATATATGGGAGAAAAAGGATCAGTTAGTTACTAAAGAGTACTCCGCCAAATTAAGCAGTCACTTAGCCCAAGGAACTAGTTCCACAAATATTTTCTCCTGCTAATCTAAATTTAGAAAGAGAGAAAAGAACTCTCACCACACTTGCTCCATCAGATTCCACAGAGATTGGAAGAGGCTGACAGGGTAAATCTTACCTGCTGCCAGCTATGTGGCAGATGTCCCAGGGTCTCTAAGCTGCTGCAGTGTCTGGGGCAAGCAGTATCCACTGAGTTAAAGTATCCTGCCAACTATGCCAACTGTTGGGGAGCAAGCATTCCTGTCCCCTCAAAGCTCCTTGAAGCTTGACATTAAAAAATTAACGAGAGAAAACCAACTTTATACTGTACATACAGGGAATCCACAAAGACATGGAAATTCCCAAGACAAACAAAATGAGGTATATATATGTGATTCTAAACTAGGGGAAGGAGAGTGGGAGTTTGAGATTTCAGAGGAAAAGAATGGACGTCATATGGCAAAGAGAAGAGCCGATGTTTGGTAATTAGATGACTGCCCTGCCATAGAGATGGGTCACTCAGATAAAATTTATCTCTGTTAGTAACCCTTATTCAGAGAAGACCCCCCCCAAATTTAGATTCTTCTCTATGGTTAAGAGAGGGATAAAAATTTCTTGAGTCTGCAGGGTGTCAAGTGCCTTCAACTCAAAATAACGCACATTCTAAAGAGGCACATTAAAAGGGCAGTGGCCGGTCCTGAATCACTACAATATAAAATAAACTGAACATGTTATACACCAGGATACCTCCCTGGCATTTCAAAACACAAGAGAACGTAATTTCTAATATTGAAAATTAATCCACAAATTAATCCGCATTGCTATTACTAATCAGAACTTCTTTTCATAAAAACTTCAACTAGACTAAAGCCTCCAGGCTGATCTGGGGAAACTGCTCTCAGGCTATGACCAATGGGAGAGTAGAGCTCGAGCCAATCATAAGCCTGCAGACCACACCACTAGTCGACGAATCAGCGGTCGCAAAGCGCATTCCTCATTTGCATAGGGTTGCCTACAAATAGGCAGGACCCGGAGGCGGACTCCATTTTCTGTTCTGCCAGGAGAAAGCGCAGTCAGGATGCCCGAGCCCGCCAAGTCGGCCCCGGCCCCGAAGAAGGGGTCCAAGAAGGCGGTGACCAAGGCGCAGAAGAAGGACGGCAAGAAGCGCAAGCGCAGCCGCAAGGAGAGCTACTCGGTGTACGTGTACAAGGTGCTGAAGCAGGTGCACCCCGACACGGGCATCTCGTCCAAGGCCATGGGCATCATGAACTCGTTCGTCAACGACATCTTCGAGCGCATCGCGGGCGAGGCGTCCCGCCTGGCGCATTACAACAAGCGCTCGACCATCACGTCGCGGGAGATCCAGACGGCCGTGCGCCTGCTGCTGCCCGGGGAGCTGGCCAAGCACGCCGTGTCCGAGGGCACCAAGGCCGTCACCAAGTACACCAGCTCCAAGTGAGCCCGCCTGCAGCCGACCGCAACCCAAAGGCTCTTTTCAGAGCCACATAGTTTCACCAGCAGAGCTGCGCACTGCCGCGCGCTGCGGCCTGGGCTTGGCGTTCACTCAGGTTAGTGGGGAGACCCTGGGGACTCGGTCGCCCGTTCTCGGGGGCGACGCTCCCTGCCTGTGGCTCTGACAGCCGTGACCGGTGCGTGGCGAGGGCCCCAGGCGCGGGAACGAACGCGCACCGGGCCGGCGAGCGCTCTCTCCCCCAGCCCGCGGGGCTCCTGCGCCCCTTCGCGAACGTTTCCTCGGGCGCGCTGGCTGCTGGCGCCGACTCTAGAAGCTCCTAAAACGGCCGCGGAGTGTCCGGGCTCCGCCTTTTGCCGAGTGTCCCCCTACGGAGTGTACGCAGCCAGCGTGACATTTGAAAAGCCCGCCGGCGAAAAGCGGGACTTTGGCTTCCGGTGCCGCCAGGCTCGCGCCCCGGGTTCTTTGTGTCGCTGCGATCCTCCCCTCCCCCTCGCCCGCCCGCTTCCCGGGGCCGTTAGAGCCCTGGCTGAGCGTCTGTTACGGTCTTTAAAATGTGTGCTGGCGGCTGCAGCTCTCCGGGAAGGACACTGAGGTTCTGACCACTTGTTCATCGTGCCTTGTCGCTTTCCTTCTTAAGCTGCCCTGAAAAGGCGATCGTCACTACACTTGGTTGTTAGTGAAGAATGCATTCGTCTCCCCCTCTCCCGCCTGACTCGCAGATGACCCGCCACAGTCTCCTCCCGCCTCAGTGATCTCCCAGAGACCTCTCCAGCCTCCAAGCCTTTGCAAATATTCTCTTCCTGAAATGCCCGATTCTACCTTTGTCCCCAACACACACACACAGTTTTCTTAAATCAACAACTCACTTTTCAGCTCTAACAAAACGTTATTGGGGAAGCTGATCTGCACTGTTACAGACTCTCAGAGCCACAAAGAACTGGCTGTATTCCCGGCCCCAAACTAATCATTACTAAGAGGCTGGGACCCTCAGGACTAGTGTGGTAGAATCAGGACCTGATCCCTGGGACTAGAGAGAAAGTCGGCCTTCCCTGGAGCACAAGGCAACGAGGAGGGGGAGACTGGAACGAAACTGAGGCTCTTAGAAAGAAGGAGGGGAAGTGGCCCTCCCTGCCTGATACCCGGGCCTTCTGGGCAGAAAGGAGCATCCATCTGGTTCATTCATACTCAAGTGGCAAGCACGGAATCATGTCCTGAGAATACGGAGCAGTGCTTCTGAGTGTGCATCGAAATCACCTGGAGGCTTGTTAGAGGACAGCTTGCTGCCCCACTCCCAGGGTTTCTGTCTCATCACCTCTGGGGGAAATCTGGGAACTTGGCTTTCTAACAAGTTCCCACAGATAAAAATGCTGCTTCTGGCTACTAAGCTTCGAGAACGTCTGATACATGGAGAACAAGCTAACCAAAGCCCCTTCCTGTGTGGACGTTTCTCTCTGGTGGTAAAGATGAGGTTATGGGATATGAGGAAAGCAAAGCCAGGCGCACCTGGGCCGCTCAGTCGGTTAAGTGTCTGCCTTCGGCTCAGGTCATGATCTCAGGGTCCTGGGATGGAGCCCCGCTTTGGGCTCCCTGCTCAGCAGGAAGTCTGCTTTGCCCTCTCTCTCTGCCCCCCCCACTCCCTCTCTAATAAATAAATAAAATCATTTTTTAAAAATGAAGAAAGAAAAATCAGAGGACAGTTGAAGCAATGCCTTTTTTGTCAAATACTGATGATTTCCTCTGTGTGAGGCATTAAGCTAGAGCAGTAAGCATGACAGACAAGAGACTGCTCTCAGGGGCTGAGATCCTAGTGGGAGAGGAGAGATCATAGACACACTGATTCCTCAACTCCCTCATTTCAAATAGGAGTTCTCACTGCTATGAAATTATTGGAACTAAAACAGGTGCCCTGATGCTGACTAGGTGATGCTCCTGATGAGGGAACCAACGACCCTCATTTGGGGATACAAATTCCAGGCCAAGGGACTGATGGTACAACAAAGCTCTAGGGCAGGGAGGAGTTTGTGCTCAAGGTTGGAAGTGCTGTGAGCTGGAAGCCTTGTAAGCAAAGGTAAGGTGTTAAGTAAGAGACAGGGCTGGGGCTTAAATGGATGCCTGAACATGTTGGACCTTATGGGCCAAAGAAGGCATCCAGATTTTTATTGTGTCCTGAGAAACTCTTAGAATTTGAAAGCACTCAGGCTGCTGTGTGGAAAATGGTATTTGTGGGATTAAAGATAAAAACAAGCAGAAGAAAGAATGGAAAGGTTATTGCAATAATCCTGGTGAAATTATTATAAGTCCTCTGGGAAGAGAAAGTCCAAAGAATTTCTTTATGAACCGGGTTTCATGGGTGAAGAGACATGTAGCTGACATTTACTGAGCATTTTACATGTGTTTAAGAGATTGTGCCAAACCCTTTCCAAAGGCTAGCTCACTTCGTCCTGTCAACATCCACAGTATCTAGACACAACTATTCTGTCTTCTAGTTGACTAGGGATGAGCAAGGTGTGGAGCTGAGGCTAAAGCCAGACAATGTGTCTCCAGGTTGTATGCTTACCCACACCTTACAAGCGCTGCTGAAATTCTTGGATGAATGGTGCAGAATTATAGGACAGGATGAGGTTTCAGAGGCTGGGATATGACAATGTTTAAATCCCCTTAAGCATTCCATCGGAGGGTCAAGTGCGTTGTTGTACATGTAGTCTGGAAATCAGAACAACTTGGGGACTGAACATAGAAATTTTGGAGAGTTTGAAAATAGAAATTTTATTGTTGGCACACATTGAAACAGGCATTTACCCATGCAGAAAGAATAAGGAAGCGCTCCAAACTTTAGAGAGAGAAAGAAGGCAGCCAAATAGTGAGGAAGAAAACCAGGGGAGTAGAGTCACAAAAGTCAAAAAAATAGTGTTTCAGGAAGGAGATCGCAGACAGCCTGCTGTGATGGCTATTGAGATGAGAACAGACAGTGACCTTTGCATATGGTAAATGGATCTCTCTGGAAAATCTGATTATAAGTAATAAAGAATAACCCAGATTTGGGGGACAGCTTCAGGAGTATTCCCTCTTACCTGAGCTCGAAGTGTCCCCACTACGTTGTTCCCCTTCTCTTGGGTCATCATGTATGATCGATGGTGGCGTCTCCCCAGCTGGATCAATTAGATTTGCTTTCCTAGAAATTAGGAAAAGCAACAGAACAGAAAGTCCTGCCTGCTCGGGAATTTTGTAAGGGTGGTAGGAGAACGTCTCCTTCAAGAGAGTTTATTTTGTTTAAATAATCTGGAATTGAGTTTTTATGAATAGATCCACAAAATGTTCATTAATTCACTTGCAACTTCTCAGGGATATATGTAAACTCATGCTATGGTCACATTACTTATCCTCCATTGTCTCACTCAGTGACACAAAAAAATATTAAATTATCCTCACATTACCTATGAGGGAAGAGTGGTTAGTGATTTGTCACAGACGACAAAGATAGAAAATGACAGTTCAAGACTTTAAGAGTATGTCTTCATGGGTTAAAAGTCCCCTTCTTTTTTTTCTGGGCCTCTCTAATTTCATGAAGAATAACAATAATAGTAACAGTAATAATAATAAAAGAGAAAACATAGAGAGTTTACCATGTGCCACGCACTGGACAAAATGCTTTGATTTTATTCACCCCAAACCCATGAGGTAGATACTACTGTTATCCCCATTTTACAGACGAGAAAACAGAGACACAGAGAGGCCAAGTGACCTGAACAAAGACAACACAAACACAAAGACTAAGCATCCCTCTGTACAAGGTTTCCAGTTTCTTTATTTATCTCTAAGGGGATATTGGGAACTTGTAAACTTAATCTATGATTTGCTCAATGACATAGACTATTACATACTTAGAACTTGTTAGTATATTTACCAAGACTGGTGATGGAAGACAAGTTCGATGGGCCTGTAGAAAAACTCACGGACTTCTTCCTGAATCAGGCTGAAAATAAATCTCTCACTGTTTTTATTTACCTCCAAATCATGTGAGATTGAGTCAGTTTGGACTTTCAAGCTTTAACTTTAAGACAGTTATTCCTGTCACACAGGACAGATCCACTATGATTAATCCAGCTCTGAGGGGGCAACTCTCCTCCTCCTGATCAATCCAGGACTCTTTTTCCTTCAAGTCATCGTTTTGCTGTCCCCTAAGACCTGATGTCTGCTAGATCAAACAAGATCACCTTCTTAATTGGTGTGAAAAGTGAAGAAGGTTTTAAAGCCCAGACCTGGGAGTGACTTCTGCTGACTTTTCTTGGAGATCTTAGGCTCATTCTTACCTCTGCTGCCCGATAAAGCCAGGACATGTTGCCTAAGGGTAGAAAGCCATCTGCCCAGCTATGCCTTTATTATGTTCAAGTGAACAAATTTTTATGGAAAAAAGGCCAGTCTACACCACAATGAACTCCTAAGATGCTTCACAAAACCAAACACATTAGGATGACACATTAGGATGACCCCAAAGTACTAAGCGGGCGGTCTCTGCCATGTTTACAGTACCGAAGAACAAGAAAGGGGTAACTCACTTGAGGACTGCTACCTTAATTTCTCACTGCCATGTTTACAGTACCGAAGAACAAGAAAGGGGTAACTCACTTGAGGACTGCTACCTTAATTTCTCACTGCTGATGCATAAAGGAGGGATTTGAATCCTGAAGGCCTGGGTTTGAAAGGACAGATCAGTAAGGATGTGCTGCATGCAGACAATAGGGCCCGCCCTTTAACTGAAAAGAAGTGACCTATTAAGTCTAAGATTGAGACAATAAGCCCAGACACTTGTCAAAATATAAACCCTTATAATGACATTTGTCCCAAGTACATTAAAATTTCTCTGAATCTTTAAAAGTACTGGATGGAACGCAGTTGAGAGAAACAAACATGCCATCTTCCCCATACCCCCTTCTCACCAAACTGATGAGCATAAAGCATCAAATTTGAAGATGTGGGGGCCGTTGACTAAAACAACGTAAGAACAAGTCAACAAAAACAATGTAATTTGCAAATTAGGAACAGTACCAACACCAACGCCAGAATAAAACGAAACCTACAAAAAAGTGAGCAACTCTTTGGCGACTTGATAGGTGGCCCTGAAAAGGGCCTTTGGTTGAGAATCGCGGTGTTCCGGGGGGGGGAGATGGGAACGCTCAGCCCCCGAAGCCGTAGAGGGTGCGGCCCTGGCGCTTGAGCGCGTAGACCACGTCCATGGCCGTGACCGTCTTGCGCTTGGCGTGCTCCGTGTAGGTGACGGCGTCCCGGATCACGTTCTCCAGGAACACCTTGAGCACCCCGCGGGTCTCCTCGTAGATGAGGCCGGAGATGCGCTTGACGCCGCCGCGCCGGGCCAGCCGCCGGATGGCGGGCTTGGTGATGCCCTGGATGTTGTCGCGCAGCACCTTGCGGTGGCGCTTGGCGCCGCCCTTGCCCAGGCCCTTCCCGCCCTTGCCGCGGCCCGACATCGCGAACAACAGTCTCCGAAACCCGCCAGGCACTGCGGGCCGCGGCGCCACTCAGCCCTTTTGTAGCAACGAGACGGACCTGTTTGAAAACCGCGAGCAAAGGGGCGGTAACCACCCCCAGTTCCCGCCCATTGCCTCGTCCGCCTTTGCTCGCCGCTCTGCGCACCCGGCAGGCGGGGCGCCCGAAGCAATAGCCCGTCCCGGGTGGGGGCGGGGAGTCATCCCCCAAATCCTCCCGTAGAGTCGTCCGTGCGGCGTGTGCTTGCAACCCCCGCAGCCACTACGCGGGGCACCCACGCGCACGCCTTTCGCAGAGAAGCCTCCGTTGTCCTTCCCAGCTCCCGGACAACCCCCGAAGTCTCTAGTTACTACTCGCCGTTGTCCGTAGGAGACGCTGGAAATAAACTCTGAAGCTAATCGTAGCTCTGTTGCTAAGGTTCCCTGTGTCTTACCGAGAGATCGATGTCTGGTTCCCTAAGGAAGGCTCGCTGGGATGCAGCCCTACGGGGGGGACTCAGTATAACGTTCCGCGTTTCAAAGCCAAAGCAGGTCCAACCTCGCTGAAGGCTGCGCTGAACGTTGGTAAATGCGTGTGTCCCAAAGTGATGAGAACCGTGCTCTGCTGTGAGCCTCACGTTGGTGCTTTGAGCGTGTGCTTAGTTAGGCACAGCTCAGGGCCCGCGCGGTTTCCGCCGCCGCGTTCTATGCTGCAGCCGTCCGCAGAGCCTAGAGCCAAGCTCTGGGGACAGCCAGCGGCCTGGGCGGCCCTAGGACCTGGGGCAGGCGGGACTCGGGTTTTCTTTTCAAATGTACAAGAAAGTCTAAGTTACAGAGCACTGGAGTTTAAAAGGGATAATCCATGTAAAAAAGTCTTTACTATCTGCAAATAAACACTCACTCAACATTATGCTCTCAGCTCCTCCCCTCCGTAGTCACCCCTCTAAACTGCTGAGCCTAACGGAGCATCCTAGTTTGCACAACTTTCTTTCGAGAACTCCTTGAAATAATAAACACTCCTCATTGAGGAGTTCCAGTTGAATTGCCGAGATCTGGCCTCTCCTCCAGGGTCTCGTGAGGAGGACCTAGTTCATCAAAGCTGTTTTCTGAGTTTATGGTGCATGGGGACAAATTCCTGACTGGGGCTCTTCCCTTGGAAACCGTGACAGGATGCAGGGCATCTAGGAACTTGTATAGAACAAAAATTCCATCTCTACTATCCCGCAACTGAACCCTAGCATTTCCTGCGTTTATGAATACAGGCAGCAACCAGGGTGATGGGCGGGTCCTGGGCTTGTGCATATCCCGGGCGGCTTAGGCGCTCAGTGTTTCCAATACCATTTAGACACGTCATTCCTACTACACTGTGGTAATTCTTGCTCACTAGGGCAATCTTTGACTTTAACGGATTAATAAAGAAACACATCTGTTAATACATCAACGGTTTGGGGTTTTGATAAATTTGATAATGGTTTTGTAATATAATTCTTTTCCTGTGTGACCCTATGTATATTATCTTAAGCACTTAAAAGCATTGTTCTGGGAAGGGGCCCATAAGCATATGCGAAGAAGTCCATGACCGGAAATGATCAAGAACCCTTCTTTGGGATCTTCAGATCCTTGAAAGACCCTGGGTTTTGAAAATGCACAGAGAGGGAAGACTGTCAGAACTGCACAGATCACACATCCTAGCCCCAGAAGATGGAGAACTGCCTCCAATCCCCCACTTCGGATGACATCTCCCTGCTTCTGGAGTCTCAGTCCAACATGGCTAGTTTTGGTGAGGGGGCATATCAGGAAATAGTTCCAGTCTGGTCTATCATTTAACACAGAGCCAGACTCCCCTAGCAACTCAGCTGACTGAAGAGCAACAAATTAGGATAGCTCAAAGGATAGGCCTCATACAACATCTGCCTAAAGGAGTTTATGACCCTGGAAGGGATGGATCAGAAAAAACAATCCTGGAAGGTGTTATCTGTGTGATAGACTTTGTTCATGGCGACCCGATTCAATTTCTGCCATGCATGCACATGTATCTCCTGGACTGTATGGATGACTGGTTGATGAGATCCCTCACGTGCCCCTCTTTCATGGAGCCAGGTGATGCTGCCCTGCTTTTGTCCTAGGAGACTAATTGAGCCCAAGTCTCTGGTTTGACCTCAAGTGAACCATCATTTTTGGTGGTTTTGATCTGTTGTCACAGGGCGCAAAGAACCAGGGATTAGGAATTAAGATCATGCACAAAAGTTTCCTAAAAATTTCTGAATGGCTGCAGATGTTGAAGGAAAAAAATACGTGATATTTTAGAAACTGAGGGGGGAAAGTAGGGTGGTATTTTTATGTAAAGTTTGACCCAGTGTTTAAAATTATAATTGTATTTAGATGCTGTTATGCTCCAGTGCATAGGAATTGTGTAAAGTGTTACAGAAGCTGTGTATGTTTAAATTGTGTGTGTTGAAGATAAGGAAAAAGATAGTGGTTGTTTTCCTGAATGGACTAACTCTCTTTTCCCCCCACCCCAATTTTTTTCTGAAGTTGCTGGCATCTGGATCAAGGTTTTATTAAAAGCTACATTTTATAACACTGGCACCAAAAAAAGTAGTTTTAAGCTTGTTGGCACAGTTCTTTTTTTCCATTGAAAATGGATATTATTGCCTTAGGTCTTTTTAAATAGTGTATTATTATCGTTGGGGCTGGCTCTGTGCTTGAAAACTAGTTTATGTATAACCCGTTACAAGTGGTCTATCTGGTTGCTGTTAGGAAATACAGAATTCAAAGTGATCTAGCTTGTAAGCAAACTGAGATGCACCATCCTTTTTCTATAAAAACTGAGTTAGGGGCGCCTGGGTGGCTTAGTTGGTTAAGCGACTGCCTTCAGCTCAGGTCATGATCCTGGAGTCCCAGGATCGAGTCCCACATCGGGCTCCCTGCTCGGCGGGGAGTCTGCTTCTCCCTCTGATCCTCTCTCTCTCTGTCTCATTCTCTCTCTCAAATAAATAAATAAAATCTTTAAAAATAAATAAATAAATAAAATAAAAACTGAGTTAATGTCAAGAGCCCACTCTAGTAAAGTGGGGTTTACTATTACCCTTTCCTATGTGTTTTACCTGATTATTTTGGTTGTTAATATGGTAATAATTAAAAGTCAAGGTCAATTTTACAAGCCATACGAGACTCATAATCATAGGAAACAAACAGGGTTCCTGGAAGGGAGAGGGTAAGGGGATAGGGTAATTGGGTAATGGACATTGGGGAGGGTATGTGTTGTAATGAGCACTGGGTACTATATAAGACTGATGAATCACAGACCTGTACCCCTGAAACAAATAATACATTGTATGTTAGTTAATTGAATTTAAATTAAAAAAAAAAAGGTAAATACAAAAAAAAAAATCCTAAAAAAAAAAAGAAAGAAAATGTGTCTACATTCACTAGATAGTCCATTGTGTATCTTATTATGTCTGATTTATTTTGGTTTCTTACCACATCTTTCTAAACCATAATGTTGTTTATAAATATTGATATTATTTGTTTATACGAAATTGTATGCCTTTATGTAAATGGTTTCTTTTTTTTCAATTACAATATGCTAATCAAATTTTATAATTATATAAGTTTAACTGAGCTGTATTTTTGTTTGGTTTGCATTATTTTCCTGTTATTAAAATAAGCCATATCACTTAAAAAAAAAGTCAAGGTAAATTTTAAATGTTAAGATTTCTGATTTATTGAGCTTGAATTATGCCACCATGCTTATGTAAAATGAAAGTGGCACTATGGTGAAACAGAAAAGTTGCTCAGTTGTAACAGTTTTGATTCATTCTTTCTTGAGACCTCCTTCCCTTATAGTCTGGGACCATAGCAAAAGGATACTGACTGCATCTCTTATTATTGTAGCGCTGAGGTTACTGAAGTTATATATAAGACACATCTCAATCTCTGTTTCCTGGAAGGAAAGTCCTGCTGGCTGACTGACTAGTCTAAGCAGGGAGAATTAAAATAAACATATTTCATGTTTCTCCCACAAATGCAGAATCTGTATAACCACATGACCATAGTTGTGATCTCAAAGAGGGAATTTCTCCCTTATTTTTTTCTGGCAGTTAATGTAAGAGCACTTTGAATCTCTAAGCTTCTGAAGTGTTAGAGGCAGAGACGGTTTAGTACAGATGTAGTTTGTAATGTTTTATCCATTTAGCACGTGTTTATTTTTCCTTATGTACTCAAAGGTGACTTAATTGTTCAGCTCAGTGATATTACAGCTAAGAATCATTCATTAACAAAAGGAGAAGCAATGTCAACCTAACAAATCAGAGCTGTTTATTTTATATTGAGTTGAATATTTGACTCTAACACTTTTCTATGTACAAAACACGAGTATCTTAAGGGTTCCCCCTAATTGCATTGGAGGGGAATTCAATATGTCATAAATACTTAAAGATTTGACACTAGACTATAGTATCCATATGTTGGTTAATTTTCTTATGAGCCCCATGATGACTTAAAGATGAATTTGAGAAAAAAATGAGGATTAACAGGTTCTGGTAAAATGTTACATGTATCTTGCTTAAGTTTTTGGTCATTAATTTATATCCACCCAATTACATAAAGCAAATTTGGAGGGGGGGTAGAAAAAAATGTGCAGAGAGGAGCATTGGGAAATGCCATGAATGTTAGTATGAAAACCCTATGTTAGGGCACTTGGGTGGCTCAGATGGTTAAGCATCTGCCTTCGGCTCAGGTCATGATCCCAGGGTCCTGGGATCGAGCCCCACGTTGGGCTCCCTGCTAGGCGGGGAGTCTGCTTCTCCCTCTGCCTCTCTCTCTCTCCCTCTGACTCTCATGAATAAATAAATAAAACATTAAAAAAAAACACTGTTAAAAAAAAACCCTATGTTAGTAACAATAATTTAATGCGGGAGTTGAAGGGTAAATGGCAATGATTTTCTCCACTTAGCAACAGCAAAGCTTATTTTCTCTCCCTCTTAACACTTTATCTTGAAGAAATAGTGTGTCTGAGTTTTCACATTTACCTTCGGAACAGAGAAACTTTTCTAGGGATTAAGCCCCGTCTCCTATTTTTACAATGTAGAGATATTTCCTAGGTTGAGGAGATATAACCTGTACATAATATGTTATAGCCCAAATAATCTCTAGATGAGTGGGACCACTGGGTGGTTCAGTCGGTTAAGCATCTGCCTTAGGCTCATGATCTCAGGGTCCCTGCATCAAGCCCCAAGTCAAGCTCCTTGCTCAGCAGGGAGTCTGCTTCTCCCTATCACTCTGCCTCTTCCCCTCCCCACTCATGTTCTCTCCCTCTCCCTATCTCAAGTAAATAAAGAAAATCTTAAGAACAATTTTTTTAAAAAGTAATTTCTAAATGTGTAAAAAGGTTCCTTTGGAATTAGCGTAGTGGTCTCTCACAAGCTACACCAGTAATTGTCACCAGGTGTAGCCCCGGACTATCTGAGTTAAGAGAAGTGACGGACCCATTTTGCTCTACAATATGAGACCTGTGACATTTTTTTCTCCTAACTGTAGTCAATCCTGTGCTGAGTGACCAGGATGTAAATCTGTTAATGTTTACTCAGTAATATATGGTTTTTTTCTCTCTCCTCTATATTGCTACAGAAAGATCATTTTGTTGACAGAGTTCTTTTACTTCTCCACATGTGAAGGGGACCAAAACCCCGTAAGTTTCACCTTCGTTTACCATTTCTAATAGGACTTTGGTCACTGAAACACGCATCCTCTGTATATATTGATGTGAGGATCAAGACTCTCTAAGGAGAGACATAGTTGGACTACTCAGAGCTCCCTGGTAGTCATTGGAGCTGTCTACTTATTTCACAGTTGCTCTGGACCTTCAATAGACTAAAAGGCCCCAAACAACTAAAATATGTCTCTATTAATAAAAAAGAATGGGGTTTCGGTATGTAGAATTGACAACGATGTCAAGGTGAATGATATATTTTGATTGGAAACAACACAGTGAGGTTGGTTATGTACAGATTATCAGGAGAGTGTAGTCCAGTGTATGGAGGTACAAGAGCAAATATCCAGAAGCGCCCAGAAATACAAGTTTGACAGTTAAGCAGGAGGACAGACCTGAAGGGAGACGCTTGGAAGTTAACCACATCAAGGTAACTCATGAGCCCATGAAGGTGATTGGGGCAGTACCTTGGAGACTCCCTGCGTTGACGCGGCCTAGAGACAGCTCTTCTTTCTTGGTACTGCATCTCTCTTTTATCTCCCCCATCATGGTTGTAATTCTGGCTCTTCTCTTTCTTGTATGGACTGACTACTGTCCCAGCCTTCCACGGCTCAGCCTCTCTGTAATTCATACTCCTCATCGCTATCAATGAATAATCTTCAAGTGAGCTTCAGAACCAACTAGACTGAATCAAAACCACTTTAGGATTAGGAATGCATAAACTCCGTAACAAGTGAACACACAAAGTAAGAATGATTTATACTGAGCTGATTGCTCATCTCATCTTTCCCATTTGAATCATGTTAATATGTAGCCTATAGTGACACTAATTTTCATGTTTCACTTGGATGTGCTGAAGGAAGTAATCAGTCATTTCTTGATTTTGAGGGGATCAGAATCACCTCTTGGGCTTTGCTCTGTGTATTCCCAGCATTTCTTTCTTTCACCATCTGAGGAGAACACAGATTACTACATGTTTCAAAATTAAGATACTACATTAAAGAGAAAGAATTTGAAGTGATGAAAATAAAAATTAAATGACTTTCTACCAAAAATGTATTCCCTATTCAACATTAAGAATAAGTTAATATATGGGGCGCCTGGGAGGCTCAGTCATTAAGCGACTGCCTTCAGCTCAGGTCATGCTCCCAGGGTCCTGGGATTGAGCCCCGCATCGGGCTCTCTGCTCAGCAGAAAGCCTGCTTCTCCCTTTCCCACTCCCCCTGCTTGTGTTACGTCTCTCACTGTGTCTCTATCTGTCAAATAAATAAAATCTTTTAAAAAAATAAGTTAATATGTGTTTCTTACAAGTTTATCTCCTTGCATAAATAAGAAATGTAGTAGCAAATATAAAACATGCTTTTCAAAAACTGCCCTTCTCTCAAGTGAATTCTGTAAGTATGTGGGCGTGTGAGGATTTGTGTGTTGCATGTGTATATTCCTTCATTCTGTTATTTTAATAGTTTGCCAAAGTTTATCTTCCCCAGGCATGGCAGATTTCTGCACCCCAAAGCTTATGAATATTTTAATTACTGACCCCCATTTAAATCAATGTAAATAAAAGGTTTTTTAAACAAATAAAGGGGTCCAACTCCCTTTTATAGCCCTTCTGGATCTCCTCTGTCACCATCTATGTTTACAGGACCAACAACCATGTCAGCAGGATCATACATTGCTGCATTCCCCATTCTCCTAGACAAATCTTGAATGCCTGAAACTCCCAAATTAACACTCCAAATTGGACAAGAAGCAATGATAAAGCTTTTTCAAAGTAATGACTGTTTTTGTCAGAATTAACTGTTATTCCAAGCTTCATTTACTATCGTTCTTGTAGAAAAATGGAGAAAGAGCCTGTGTTATTTCTCTTCATATGAAACAGATTTTCTGGGTACATCTCCAAGAGAACTAAGCAGTTGTTGAATGTATGAGAAGCCAAGAATGTGTAGAATATCACTAGAGAGCAAGCGACGGAAAGCACAGAGGGAAGAATTTATATTTTAAACGAAAATCAAGAAGTTGTCTCTCTGACCTGCGAATCTCTCAGAGTGTCGGGGGCTTTTGAAAAAAGCTGCGACTAACGTGATAAAAACTGGAAGAAGAAAACATGAAGATCTCAAAGCCTGAGGTGTCCCGCTTCGCTACAGAATATAATCGGTGTGATTCCTCCACAGGAAATTTTATTTTTCTTGCTTTCCTCGGTTGTAACAAACACAGTTCCGGGACAGAGCTGCGACTAGGTTGCAGTCGAGCTGGAGGACTGAGCTGGGAACCAATCAGCGCGCAGCGTGCTTGTTGTATATATGCACACACGCACGCCCGGGCCGGCAGCTCAGCTCGGAGACTTTATTATCCTTCTTCTTTCCTGCTTTCCCGCCAGGAATCCAAACGCACAATGTCTGAGACCGCACCTGCCGTGCCTCCTGCCCCTTCTCCCGCGGAGAAAACGCAGCTCAAGAAGAAGGCCCGCAAGTCGGCAGGTGCCGCCAAGCGCAAGGCGTCCGGGCCCCCGGTGTCCGAGCTCATCACCAAGGCCGTCGCCGCCTCCAAGGAGCGCAGCGGCGTGTCCCTGGCCGCGCTCAAGAAGGCGCTCGCGGCCGCCGGCTACGACGTGGAGAAGAACAACAGCCGCATCAAGCTGGGCCTCAAGAGCCTGGTGAGCAAGGGCACCCTGGTGCAGACCAAGGGCACCGGCGCCTCGGGCTCCTTCAAGCTCAACAAGAAGGCGGCCTCCGGGGAAGCCAAGGCCAACCCCACGAAGGTGGCGAAGGCCAAGGTGACGGGCGCTTCCAAGAAACCTAAAAAGGTCACGGCAGCTGTTAAAAAAGCTGTTAAGACTCCGAAAAAGGCCAAAAAGCCGGCTGTGGCCAAGAAGTCGTCCAAGAGCCCCAAGAAGCCCAAGGTTGTGAAGCCTAAGAAAGTAGCCAAGAGCCCTGCCAAAGCCAAGGCTGTGAAGCCCAAGGCGGCCAAGGCGAAGGTGACCAAGCCAAAGACGGCCGCCAGGAGTCCAGCCAAGGCCAAAGCCCCGAAGCCCAAGGCAGCCAAGCCTAAAGCGGCCAAGCCCAAGAAGGTGGCCGCCAAGAAGTAAGAATTTAGTTGAGAAAACTTTAATGGCTCTTTTCAGAGCCACACAATTAACCTTATGAAAGAACTTGGTAGGACTTGGTTTTTCCAGTATGTTTCACAATTTAAAAAACCTAAAACAAGTACACAGCAATCTTTCATAGAAAGGGTCGTTGGCTCTGAAAAGAGCCTTTGAGCATAAGGTTCAAAGGCTCTGGTCACTGGCTTAAAAGAATTTACGCCCTCTCCCCGCGGATGCGGCGCGCCAGCTGGATGTCCTTGGGCATGATGGTGACGCGCTTGGCGTGGATGGCGCACCGGTTGGTGTCCTCGAAGAGCCCCACCAGGTAGGCCTCGCAGGCTGAGCTCTGGAAGCGCAGGTCGGTCTTGAAGTCCTGCGGGCCGCCTCGGTGACCAGCTGCTTGCGCGGGGCCTTGCCGCCCGTCGACTTGCCCAGGGCCAGCTATTTGCGTGCGGCCCGGTCGACTTGCGGCCGTCGTGCAAGCCATCCCAAAATTAACCAAAACAGGTAGCTGAGGGAAAAATGAAACCCTACCACACTCCACACTATTGTATATGAAGAGAGTCCCATTCTGATTGGACAGACATTCGCTTCCTAGGGCTCCAACTGAAGATATTGGTAGTGACCTTTCACTCCCTGAATCACAGGAACTCCAGTACATTTGGAACAAAAATTAATGTCTTCCATGAAAAAAAAATTAACATCTTCCTCCAGTCCACTAGTTTAACTGCTGGTGTTTTCAACTTTCTCTCCTCTACCTTATTTACAGTGATCTATCTCTTGTCTACCTCATCTGTTTCTTTACAATGTTCTTTGGCTTTTGAAAGCAGAACTTAATACCAATTGTTGGAATGATATACCTTGTGGGCTCAATAAAAATGTAAGGTTTGGCCCCTGAAACTGGCTTTCTGTAGATCTTTTTTGAAAAGACACCCTCTACATGTGATTGGCCAAGTACTTTTTTACCCTGGTTGGAGTGTAGGAAGAATAATTTCAGGTCTATTTCTTGATGTCTCTATTCAAAGTTGGATTTTTTATTATATTTTTATAATATAATATAATATAATATAATATAATATAATATAATATAATATAATATAATATTTTTATACAATTCCTAAATGGACCATAACCCCTGAGTTAATTTCACACTCATTACTATAATTTCATTAAACACATACTTACTCTACACTAACCGAAGTTTGTGTAAAAAGGTGTTAAAAGATACCCAGAGTTGTAAATGTACAAAAAGATCACTGAGTATCTTTTTAAAGTCATACTGAACCCTGAGTTAGGAAGTTCTGTATAAAGGACAACAAATTCCAGAGCATATAGTTTTGTATTCCAGTTTCTAACTGATTAGGCACAGGCCAGTAAAGTTGGATATTGGTTTATTTTTTTAAAGTATGATTTGCAGATGATTTTGTCCACTAAGGTGGAAAACTGCCTTCAATAGGATACATTAATAAAGGTATAGTTTTATTGATCTGTAGATCACTAGATTTGGATCTAAACTTTCAACAGAAACCAAGCATTACCCTTCCCACAATCTTACAGATGGTTTACAATACTGAGGGACTCTGGTATTGATATACTTTACCATGGGACTCAACTTCTCCATACCGTTGTAATCTACAGATGGCAAGTCTTATTTTTATGGTAACTCTAAACTGAATGATTAGTTTCACCTTCCTGAGGATTTGAAGTACTGACATGTATTTATGGATTGATGAACTACCCTGCAGGGCATTTTCAATTAGCTACAATTAATAAAGAAAATGTAAGCCCTTTCAATGAGTACGGGGGTGGCTCTGAAAAGAGCCTTTGGTTAAAATGGACCCCTCAATGAATTAAGATTGTATTTTTCCACCTTACTTGCCCTTGGCCTTGTGGTGGCTCTCGGTCTTCTTGGGCAGCAGCACGGCCTGGATGTTGGGCAGGACGCCGCCCTGCGCGATGGTGACGCGGCCCAGCAGCTTGTTGAGCTCCTCGTCGTTGCGGATGGCCAGCTGCAGGTGGCGCGGGATGATGCGCGTCTTCTTGTTGTCGCGCGCCGCGTTGCCCGCCAGCTCCAGGATCTCGGCCGTCAGGTACTCGAGCACGGCCGCCAGGTAGACGGGCGCGCCGGCGCCCACCCGCTCGGCGTAGTTGCCCTTGCGGAGCAGGCGGTGCACGCGGCCCACCGGGAACTGCAGGCCGGCCCGGGATGACCTAGTCTTGGCCTTGGCGCGCGCCTTGCCGCCTTGCTTGCCGCGCCCGGACATCTTAATACTAACCAGGATGCTCCGTAACGGAAAAAGAAATGGGAGTACTAATCCTTTCAGCAAATGAGAAGCAATTATACTTACAAGCCGAATTGTAAATTACGCGGTTTGATTGGCTAAAACAATTTTTAAGTTTGCAACCAATTACAAAACAGAATTAAACACACGTAATATCCATACTATGTTGCAGTTCGCGTTTATTTATTCAATCAAAGTCTAGCTCTTTTAGCACTTCATTCGTATAGGAGCCATTAAATATTATGAGGGTTGTAACCAGGGCACATATTTCTTATCCCAGAATCATAGTTTTTGTTCATCATGCCAGAGTCACGGAAGTCTGGTCCTATCCCCGAAGAAGGGCTCGAAGAAGGCGGTGACCAAGGCGCAGAAGAAGGACGGCAAGAAGCGCAAGCGCAGCCGCAAGGAGAGCTACTCGGTGTACGTGTACAAGGTGCTGAAGCAGGTGCACCCCGACACGGGCATCTCGTCCAAGGCCATGGGCATCATGAACTCGTTCGTCAACGACATCTTCGAGCGCATCGCGGGCGAGGCGTCCCGCCTGGCGCATTACAACAAGCGCTCGACCATCACGTCGCGGGAGATCCAGACGGCCGTGCGCCTGCAGCTGCCCTGGGAGCTGGAGCTCCAGATAATCCTGACAAAATGTCTTCAGATTTAACCCCAAGGACGCTTAAGAGCCAGCCAGTTTTTCAGCGTGAGTTGTAACGGCTTTGATAGTTAATGTAACTGCTGAAGAGGTTTTGCTTTACTTTGCTGAAAATGTTCGGCTTGCTGGTGTGGGGGACTAGCACCTAAAATACACATACCTTTTCACTGGTGGAAAGAGAAAGGTACGAGTGTGGGTAACGGTGGGATAGATTTCTCTTGTTTCTACTGCCCATTTTAACCACAAGCCTGGCCCAAGTGGTGACAAAAAATGGTTCACTGAAACTGCCGGGATGTAGTGTCCTTTACACATTGGTTCTATGAAAAGCCAAGAGGGCTTAAGAAATTTGTTAGTGCTATTTTTGTTAGTGGTATATTGTGGTAAAAAGAAACTGGTTTATTTCCAGATTAATCTTTGTACACTTTTAATGGATTTATTTGCTGAAGGCAATATAATTTGTAAATAGTAGTGGGAACAAGCCAATGCATGAAAATTGAAAAACAAACATCACTGACTCCAAGATGGGGTCATTTAATTGTAATGAGAATTTTCCCAAGACTTGTTTAATGAAATGTGAGACCACTGGCAACATTCCACATTACAGTAATGATGCTGGCAGTCCAAGAAAGAAACTCCTTTTAGGGATATTTTGGTGTCTCTCCCTTAAAATTAGTATTTTCCTCCAGGGTGGATTTTATATCAGCTTATTTCTGTCCTGGTCAACAAAAATTATTTTTAAATTAAAAAAAAATTCATATGGGGCCACCTGGGTAGCTCAGTTGGTTAAGCGTCTGCCTTTGGCTCAGATCATAATCCCAGGGTCCTGGGATCGAGCCCCACATTGGGCTCCCCGCTCAGCGGGGAGTCTGCTTCTCCCTCTGCCCTTCACCCTGCTTGTGCTCTCTCTCTCTCTCTCTGACAAATAAATAAATAAATTCTTAAAAAAAAATTCATATGTCATTCTAGTAACACGACCACTCCCCTAGCATATGCAGATATATATAATAATGGTAATGGGAATTTACACTTTTCTCCTTGTAATTAGAAATGTACTTAAAGTTATAACCTGCCATGAACGGTATCCCATGTGAATTAAATGCTAAGGATGCACATACAAAATATTTTTAGGGGTTCAACCCAGGTAGCAAAAAAGTAAAACTATTTTATATTCTTGTATAATTTCTTCCATGAACAACAAACTTTCTACTCCCCACACAACACAAATGCACGCACACACACACACAAAACAACATACACAAAGAACATATACATTTTCAAACAAAACAAAAGCAACAAGGAAAGAAATGTAAAAGAATGAAATCTAACGATACCAGGAAGCTGTATATGAGAGCTTCTATTGTTATAGTCAATTTTTGCTTTATGTATTCCCAGAAGTAAACAAATATCTAAACAAGGTATATATGACCTTCCCCAGAGTACAAGAACACCCTGAAAGTATCTATGGTAGTGCATCCATATATTCTTCCTGCTTGTAGAACAGGAAGTATATAGCTTTCTATCAAATTCTAAAAACACTGGGACCTACCGTGCTAGGCAGAAAAATGCCATCGCCATTATCTTTAACTCCTAACCTCTACGGGTCTGTGAATATGTTAGGTTCCATGACAGAGGGCAATTAATGTTGCAGATGGCAGTAAGATTGCAAATCACCTGATTTTTTAAAGGGGAGATTATCCTGGATTATCCAAGTGAACCCAGTATAATCACATGGATACTTAAAATTGGATGAGGGAACCTGAGTACAGAACCAGAAAGATAACAGCCCGAGGACTTGGCCAGAGATGGCTGGCCTTGAAAACTGAGAAAAGGGGCCCTGAGCCAAGGAAAGAGGATAGCCGATAGGAGCTAGAAAGGGCAGGCAAACAGATTTCTTTTGATAGACCCCAGAGAAGAATGCAGAATTCCTGACACCTTGATTTTAGCTCAGTGAGATCCTTGCCTAAATGCTGATCTACAGAATTAGGAAATTATAAATTTGTACTGATATAAGCCGCTAAATTTGTGATAACCTGTCAGACCAGCAATTAAGGAAATTAATACACCCCCATAGCTTAAGAATTATGGATTCTGTATTCACTGAGGTTCTTTAAGAGTACAACTACACATATATGTAAATTTAAATGTATACTTATTATCAGAATTATTATAGATGCATGTAAATTCTTCCTAAATATTGCAGGCTCCCGTAATGTTGAAGTTTCTCGGATTTTGAGAACAGCATTTTACACTTCCTTTTTTCCTGGTGTTTAGGATGTCTGGATTTAAGAGCAGCAACTCTAATTTCATGGAGTGACACTTGCTCCACTCATTGTGGTATTATTTCTTCTGATTATAGTTCTACTTCAAAAAGCTTGCATTTATTATATATGAAGTATAGGAGAAACGGAAAATTTCACCTCATACTGTTCATAAAAACCTTCTGAATTGTAAACTCCTCTAAAATGTGTATTTTTATTATAAATTATTGCATTTTGTTTTCACAAGTGTCCATAGTTTATTTTAATCATTTATTATTTAGTAATATTTAGTAATAGCCTCATTTTATAAAGAAAGTGAGGCACAGTGGGTGTGAGAACCAAAGCTCATTTACATGGCAGAAACTTCGCACCAGAGTCTTCTTTCAAAGGTGTCTGGATAGAATTCAAAGACACTTCATATCAAGTAGATCTGTCAACACTTTAGTATTTTTACATCGATTATCTCCTTTCTCCAGCACTGAGCTACATATCTCTTTTCTTGGTGCATTCTTTGTTCAGCTTTCCTTAAGTGTCCTGAGTCAGCCAAGAAGAAAGGCTTGGTTAGGCTCGGAGAGGAAACCCCACATCCCATAGGACTGCCGCTGCCCCCAAATTCAATTCACTTCTATATCCTGGAATACTTACCCTGCCTGGGAGAACTGATGGTGGTAAACTTGAGACTGTTAGTCCCTTGAAAGCAAAGAAAATATCTTATATGATTATCAAAGTGCCTGATGGAGAGAGGAAATGCAATAAACAAATGCTTTCAAATGTAAAGTAGTCATGGCCCTTATTTAAATCAATGGAGGCTTGGAGCAATGCATCTCTCAGGAAAATGGAAAAGTATTGATTTTTACAAATATAATTTAATTAAAAGCTACCCAGGTTTTCAAATACTTAAAAGCCAAAACTGAGGTATCCCAGACACAACTGAAGGCAAAAGTAGGGGCTTGGGGCACAAAAGAAAGAAAAAGTTAATACAACCTGTAAATTTGGAAAAGAGGCCAGGTGGAATTCAGGCTGACAACTTAGGAGGGACAGGAATGTTAACACTTCTGGGAGTGTAGAAATCAGAGGGTGGTGGAACTAATTGCTACTGGCAGGATACAAGACCTAGGGGTAGGGTGAGGACAGGAGCACCTTCTAACTGCTCTCCAGCTTCCACAGCATTCTGTAGACTGAAATAGAAACTGAATGTATGCAAAGTTCCAGGCCCTGTAACTTTGACAATAGAGACTAGCAGTTTTGAAGCAGAAAAAGACGTACATGCTTTTACTACGCGCATGGGCATCGGTTGTTTCTCCTATAGAAGGACAGCCTCCAAACAAATTCAATGTCAAAAGTATACTTAACGTTACAACTCTTTGGATGAAAATGTAGGTGGCTCTGAAAAGAGCCTTTGGGGTTGGGCTCACAAGGGGCTTACTTGGCAAGCTCACTTGGAGCTGGTGTACTTGGTGACGGCCTTGGTGCCCTCGGACACGGCGTGCTTGGCCAGCTCCCCGGGCAGCAGCAGGCGCACGGCCGTCTGGATCTCCCGCGACGTGATGGTCGAGCGCTTGTTGTAATGCGCCAGGCGGGACGCCTCGCCCGCGATGCGCTCGAAGATGTCGTTGACGAACGAGTTCATGATGCCCATGGCCTTGGACGAGATGCCCGTGTCGGGGTGCACCTGCTTCAGCACCTTGTACACGTACACCGAGTAGCTCTCCTTGCGGCTGCGCTTGCGCTTCTTGCCGTCCTTCTTCTGCGCCTTGGTCACCGCCTTCTTGGACCCCTTCTTCGGCGCCGGGGCCGACTTGGCGGGCTCGGGCATCCTGACTACCAACAACTCGATTGACAAAGCAAATAAAAGTACGAAGATGTTCGCCTACATCCAGAGTCTCCTCTTTTATAGGCCATCTATGCAAATAAGGCATGCAAGAATATCCGAATCTGATTTGATAATGAATTAGTGACGGGGAATATGTAAATTTCAGTGCGTCATATCTCCTTTCTTATTGGTTGGATTGCCGAACGATGACCTTAACCAATCCCAACTCGAGTTTTCCACTTCCGTCCGGCACTATAACTGGCATCTTTTTGCTGCTTGCAGGACACTTCTTTCCTCTCTTCCTGTGGGTTCTTGCTCTCAGATACCAATCGCTATGTCCGGGCGCGGCAAGCAAGGCGGCAAGGCGCGCGCCAAGGCCAAGACTAGGTCATCCCGGGCCGGCCTGCAGTTCCCGGTGGGCCGCGTGCACCGCCTGCTCCGCAAGGGCAACTACGCCGAGCGGGTGGGCGCCGGCGCGCCCGTCTACCTGGCGGCCGTGCTCGAGTACCTGACGGCCGAGATCCTGGAGCTGGCGGGCAACGCGGCGCGCGACAACAAGAAGACGCGCATCATCCCGCGCCACCTGCAGCTGGCCATCCGCAACGACGAGGAGCTCAACAAGCTGCTGGGCCGCGTCACCATCGCGCAGGGCGGCGTCCTGCCCAACATCCAGGCCGTGCTGCTGCCCAAGAAGACCGAGAGCCACCACAAGGCCAAGGGCAAGTGAAATGTTTGCAAAACCAGCAGTCCCTCTCTTACAAATCAAAGGCTCTTTTAAGAGCCACCCAAATTTTCTGGAAAGCGCTGAAATACTTAAAAACCCTAGGTGACGTGTGTTTATTAAGTCTCAGCCATTTGATTACACGCAAATCTTGTCACACGCAACCTGCTTTAAAGTTTCCTATTTTAAAAACTGGGTAACTCCTCCCGTTCTTGCCACAAAGTGTTCATTTCCAATTAAAACGTTACTTAAATCTCCTATGCTATAAAATTAGATTCATGAAACAAATTACATAGAACGTTTGCAAATGCACAATTACAATTCTGTCAGGACATTACTTAGGGATGTAAGCTATGTATATGACAGAATTATAGTAATCGAAACCAAAATACCAACATATTGAGACTTTAATATAAAAGTGTACAGCTTACATACAAATGTACTTAATTATATATATACTATATTCAAACTTGCGGTCAGAAAGTCTAAAACGTATGAAAGAAATGAGAGAACAAAGGAGAGATACCTGACCAATCCCATGTCATGGCGGGCTGTTTAAATTTTATGGCAGCCTGCATTCTTACTAAAAATTATTTTACCTATTCGTTTTTGCCTTTTCACAAAAAAGAAATGAATGGAGTACACTCATATCAACTCTAAATGAAATCTCGCTTTTATTAACTCAATTTCAAGTAAACTAGGAGTAAATATAAACAAGAAATAAATTTTGATTCTATATTCAAATCTTAGTGGAAATCCAATCATTTCTCGCGAAAGCAACCGGAGAACCAATTAGATCACAGCGCGGGACCTACGAACCACACTGGTCTATAAATGCCGTCAGAACCGACAACTTGCTACTCTCCAGCCCGGTTCCTCTTCTGTGTGTCTGTCATGGCTCGCACGAAGCAGACGGCGCGCAAGTCGACGGGCGGCAAGGCCCCGCGCAAGCAGCTGGCCACCAAGGCGGCCCGCAAGAGCGCGCCGGCCACCGGCGGCGTCAAGAAGCCGCACCGCTACCGGCCCGGCACGGTGGCCCTGCGCGAGATCCGGCGCTACCAGAAGTCCACCGAGCTGCTGATCCGCAAGCTGCCGTTCCAGCGGCTGGTGCGCGAGATCGCGCAGGACTTCAAGACCGACCTGCGCTTCCAGAGCTCGGCCGTCATGGCCCTGCAGGAGGCGTGCGAGGCCTACCTGGTGGGGCTCTTCGAGGACACCAACCTGTGCGCCATCCACGCCAAGCGCGTCACCATCATGCCCAAGGACATCCAGCTGGCGCGCCGCATCCGCGGGGAGAGGGCGTAATCCAAGGCTATTTTCTCTGGACTTTGAAAAAGGCTCTTTTCAGAGCCACCTACTTTGTCAAAAATCTGTTGTAACGCTTTCCTTACATCTCCCTTCGTGAAAGTCTTCCCTTTTTCAGGAATACTCAAGCCATATTAGATGCATGCAGTGAATTTTATAACAATCTTGTTTGGATTCATAGTAATTGTGTGTAAGGTTACATAATCCATCACTTAGTTTTAGAAAGATGCTTTACTACTCACTTGCCAGGATGTTTTTCAAACTCTAGTTGTTCGATAAAGGCCACAGAATGGCTTTTAGGTATTACAAGATAGGAACTTCCCTATTTACCTGCAGCCTTCTATCCTTTTGGAGTGTGAAAGAAAAGGGCAACACTTACTATTATCACTAGAGTCAAAGTCTAGGTGAATCAAGTGAAATGCATAGTTTTTTAATGGGTCTTCAATCCACTGGGTAGGCCTCAGTAGCCTGAAAAGCAAATAAAGACCTGATATTTTTTTCACATGGAGAAATTGTTTTTCACGCCCTTACGTTATGCGCTATCAAAGTATAAAATTCGAAATAATAAGCCAAGTCTCATATAGTGAGTTTTTCTAATATATAAGTCATCAATAAGGGACTATCAGGAAGATAAACCTAGTTTAAAGGAGTATAGGACATTATCAAGACTATCAATACTTCGGGGCGCCTGGGGGCTCAATCTTAAGCATCTGTACTCGGCTCAGGTCATGATCCCAGGGTCCTGGGATTGAGCCCCCCATCGGGCTCTCTGCTCGCAGGGGAGCCTGCTTCTTCTCCCAGTCTACCTGCTTGTGTTCCCTCTCTCACTGTCTCTCTCTGTCAAGTAAATAAATAGAATCTTAAAAAAAAAAAAAAAGACTATCGATAGTTCAAGAAAGTGAAGGAAACAAAATATTCCTCTTTGACATAAAAATCTGGGGTTCAAGGCAGTTAAGCAACAATCACAGGAAAAGCTCTCTCCACCCTTCCTGCTTTCTGCCCTAAGGCAGGATATAAAGGCTATTCTGGAGACCTCTAGAATCTTAACAGCCCAGAGAGACACCAGAGGAATCAGCAAACCTTCGTTTCCTCCCATATATTCACCTTCCCAGGGTTTTCAGTCCTTAAAAGCCTAAAACTGCCTTCCTTTGTCCTGTCACTTCTCTATGCATCTATTGTTCTTTTTCAAGATGCTGTATAAGCTGCAGTTCTAAGGTACCTCTTTGAATTCCCTGGGTTTCTCCCACGTGTATATGAAATATACATTAATAAACATCTGATTGTTTTTCTCTTGCTAATCTGTGTTTTGTAACAGAGGCCCCAGCCAAGAACCAAAATGAATGAAGGGAAAATTTCCCTCCCCTACAAAAGATTGAAATAAAACCAAAAGAGCAAATTTAGATCAAAAAGGGTTATTGTCCTATGGCACAATTACAACCTCTAGATAATCTTTTCTACTGACATAATTTCCATCTCCAACAGACAAAACTCACTGAAATTATCAACTTCCTACAAATTATCTAAATCTTCATAGATTTTTCTTAGACACTAGACCCCAATAAATAGTCAAACAGAAGCACATTCTCTTAAAATAAGTTAAAAACCCCTTGGACAGGCCTTTTAGACTGTGCTCAATATGACCACGGAAAGAAATGCAGCCATCCCTTTACGTTAACCTGATATTTAGGTATTTCTTAACAGGTTTCAGAGCTGTCCTAGTCTGTAACCAAAGTCTTTTTCCCTTGGCCTCAGTGACCCCATACCTGATGAAGAATCTACTTTCCCATCTGCACTTTCAACCTTCCTGCTCACCAGTGGTGACTTGCCAGGCTACAGAGGGACTAGTGTTCAATTTCCCAGGCCTAAAGAAGTAGAGAGGACCAGCAGCTTTATGACACCCTGTTTATCTCCAATCAAGTCAAAGTCATATGACAGCACTTGTTTACCTTTTTTCAAAAAGGTGAAATTACCATTCAGAATATAGAAGATAAACATGTGACAAAGAGTTTACTTAAACCATCATTGACTGAAAAAGGTAAAATGCTCTGATCAGTTCAAAGAATATTTAAGAGATTAGGGTACTTATAAACAATTTAACATAGAAATATTGGAGTAGGATTGTTGAATGAGGTTAAAACAAAATTAGTAATGTCCAAGAGGCCATAAATCTTTGGAGAGAGAGCCGTTCCTCCCAACAGAAATTATTTGCATCTCTACCAAATAAACCCCTGCTAAATTTGTTACTTTCAGTCAAGGGTCAGTGAGATGATCAAAGTCCATTGTCCACTGTATTTGTGTGGTCTTTAACATTTTAGGATATTAAACATCATGGCCCATTCTTTTTTCTTTACTTGCAAATCTCAGATAATGTGTCTCATACTGTGAACCTTTGCTGGAAAAAAATACAAACATAGAACCTGCAAGATAAATTTCTATGAAACTTCATGATGTGACTCCTTAACATTCTCATTATACTCATTAATCAAATAGTAGACACTGTAACTTTTGTTTCTAGACTCCAGAGTAATGGACTTGGTTTTCTTAGCTGTCTCTCTTGATCTTTACCCAGATTCTAGAAACAGTAAACCATTCTCTAAGCTCTCCCTTCCATGAGATGCTTTTGTACTTCCACAGTGATTAATTTGCTTATTTTTTTTTTAAATACCAGAATATATAGTCTCTTGTACAGAAGCTTAAGCTCTTTTGGACTATAATTCGGTCAGTAAACATTTTTGGATGCTCTCTCTCAACAAAATATACTTTCCAAAAAAAAATATTAGCACAGAATTTCAGCAAGTCTCCATCTCCTGACACCCTGCCCTTGAAGAATTCTAAGGTCAACAGTTTTTCTAGCTATCCATCTTTTCTTGCTTTGATGAGTAACGTTTTCTTTGACAAGCCTCCCTTTGTCCCCTAATGTCATTTTATTTTGTTATTTTTTTTAATTTTTGTACAATGCTTCATTTGAGTTTGGTGCCAGTCTCTGACTGGGTTTCTTAGAAATATAGATGGCCCTTAAACAAAGATTAGGGGCACCAATCCCTTGCACAGTTAAAAATCCAGGTATAACTGTTGACCCCCCAAAACTTAACTGCTAATAGCCTACGGTTGAACAGAAGCCTTACTGATAACATAAACAGTTGATAAATAGATATTTTGTATATGATATGTATTAAATACTGTATTCCTATAATAAAGTAAGCTAGGGACAAAAATATATTACTAAGAAAATCATAAAGAAGAGATAACACATTTACCCTGCTGTATTGTGTTTACCGAAAAACAATCTACATACACGTGGGCCCATGGAGTTCAAAGCCCTGTTTTTCAAGGGTCAACTTTACATTGAATGTCCACAATATCCCACAGCCCATGACAGCAAAGTTTGGTAAGAAATCAAGTAACAGAGAGAGGAAATGAAGAATCCTGGAGCAGTGCCACTTATAAGAAATAATGCAAAACACATATGTAATTTAAATATTTCCAGTAAACACATTTTAAAAAGTGAAAGGATGCAATTATTTGAATAGTATATTTGATGTAATTCAAAATGTCCAAAATATTTTTTTAAAGATTTTATTTATTTTTTTGACAGAGAGAGACACAGCGAGAGAGGGAACACAAACAGGGGAAGTGGGAGAGGGAGAGAGAGAGGCAGGCTTCCCGCTGAGCAGGGGCTCGATCCCAGGACACCGGGATCATGACCTGACCTGAAGGCAGACACTTAACGCCTGAGCCACCCAGGTGCCCCCAAAATATTTTTGTTTCAATATGTAATCAATATAAAGACATTAGTAATGCAATATTTACATTCCTTTTTTCATCCTACATCCTCTAAATTGGGTATCTATTTCATTCAATCTGTACTAATTTTTTATCGTAAAAAACTTGATTTGCATTTCAATACCATAAAATTTACTGTTGAAAAATTGAGTTCACATGCCCAAGTTCTTCAAATATACCCCAAACTTTGCTATAACCGAACAGAGTACTAGCTTTTAAATTTAAATATTTTTATTAAATAAAAATAAAAATTCAGTCCCTCACAGCATCAACTATATCCCCAATGCTCAAAAGTGGGTCCAGATCACTTTTATCAGACAATGCAATCCTAGAAGGAATTGTGTTTTTGGTGTGAAGGTGGTAGTAAATTGGGTTAGTATATAAATTTGAATGTAACCATGTAAATTTAGCACTGACCCCTAAACTCAAAGATTTGCGCTTACAAAGATATAGAGGTTACAAAAAAAATAAAAAATAAAAACTGAACATAAATCCAGATTGCAAAATACCAGACTGAGAGATTTAAGAATATCAGGAACGAAGTCAGTCCCCGGGGCATGAGACTGAATTTCCACAGGCAAAGTCCTTATCACTGTGTTCAACACTTGACCTAAGATTTACCTTTTGATTTTCAAACCATTTTGTGATGTCGGGATTAACATTTCCATTCTACAGAAGAACAAACTAAAGTGAAATTGAGAGAACACAAGTCACAAAACAGGCCCTGGACCCTAGAAGGTGAAGGGTAGGGAGGGTCCAGGGCTCAGGCAACAGGCATGGACCTCCGAGGAAAAAGCACCCCACCAGGAAGACGCGAGTCCGTGTCCCACCGGGGACGTGAGTTCTTTCTTCCCTCCGTGAGACCATCTTGCCAACATCACTATTCCACCTTGACTTAAAGTGTACAAAAATGATTTAAGAGGAGGAGAGGAGCGAAACACTCGACTACATTTCAGATATACGTTTAATATTCAAAGCCAGGGGTAATTTCGTCAACGACTTGCCCACGGTGCGTAAGGATGCTAGTGGTTCAAAACTGAGAAACAGGTACTAGCTTGGTAGGTGCCATTTATTTCAGTCCCTTGAAAAGCAGAGAATTTTCCTTACACGCCCTTAAACACAGCTTGCCTCAGACAATTCCGGGAAGGAACAGAGAGGGACCCGGGCAGTGCGCGGGACGCACAGCCTCGCCCGCAGCGGTGGGCGGGGAAAACCCGCTGCCGCCCCGCCCCTCCCCACCAGCCCAGCCTCCCTCTTGGTTCTCAATTAGGTCCGCCACAGGGCTATAAATAAGAAGCTCGGTGTCCTGTCAAAGCGAATCTGTCTATTGCATCTCTCCTTTCTCGCTGAGCATGTCCGGCCGCGGCAAGGGCGGGAAGGGCCTGGGCAAGGGCGGCGCCAAGCGCCACCGCAAGGTGCTGCGCGACAACATCCAGGGCATCACCAAGCCCGCCATCCGGCGGCTGGCCCGGCGCGGCGGCGTCAAGCGCATCTCCGGCCTCATCTACGAGGAGACCCGCGGGGTGCTCAAGGTGTTCCTGGAGAACGTGATCCGGGACGCCGTCACCTACACGGAGCACGCCAAGCGCAAGACGGTCACGGCCATGGACGTGGTCTACGCGCTCAAGCGCCAGGGCCGCACCCTCTACGGCTTCGGGGGCTGAGACTGCACACAGACTCGATTTGGGTGAAAAATCTTAAAAGGCCCTTTTCAGGGCCACACCCGTTCATTTGAAGGAGCCGGGGGCATTGGTGTACTAATGATCTGCTTTTTTCACTCTTCACAGGAGCAGGAATTACAGGATGTGTTTTCGGGTCTGAACTCAAGTGTGTATGCTATAACTTAATTCTGTTTGCTGCTACTGGAAAGCACTAAATGTTAAAGCAATGTTACTAAAAGGTTGAGTACTAGGCTTTGCCAACATAAGGTTTTGTAGCTTTTAAGTTACCCCATACCGTTTAATTAGCAATTGCTTTTGATTTCCTTGGCATGATTTGGCAATCCCAATGAGCTTCACACACTAATAGGTCAGATTTTTAAAATCTAGTTACTATTTTCTAGAAGTAAAGTTTGAATACTGAAAAAATGTATAATCCTCTTATTAGCCCATTTAACTCAAAAAGAAAAAAATGCTTTTGAGTTTGGTCTGGTCAACCAGTAGTTGTCTAACTAGAGAAAGAATTCAGTGAGAAGCTCAGATTGAGCTCCAATGAAAGCACCTAAGAGCAGGCCTAGGTGGCACATGGGTACTATTCTCGCCCATAAAGCATTTATATTTGGATTATGTAAATTGATGACCAATAAAGTATTTTTAAGCCACAAAGATTTGGGGGTTACACCGTGTCACACATATTCCCTGCATATTCTATAATAAAAGCAACAATGTTGACTCACCTCACAAACCCTCTGGTTTTTCAGCTTTAAAGTCAGAAAGGGAGATACACACTTCTAGCCCTGTGCTGGGACTCAGCCACACAATGTTTTCTCATGTGTCAGTACTTGCAAAGGAAAGGAGGGAGAAGCATCCTCCAAAATAATAACCAGGCAAATTATCTTCAGTGTCTTGGCTTCAAGACAAAGTCACTGGCAGTAGCCAATTTAAAAGCACTTCAAGGTATTTGTAGCCTTTCTCCTCACCTCTTAGCACCGATTCCTGCCCTCAGGCAAACTGAACCAGAGTAATATAGGGGCAGGGGGAAGGAGGGAACAGTTATTTTAGTTAACTTTCTTTGGGTTCTTAGATGGCTTTTATTTTTCCTGATGGGTCCTGTAATGATGGCCTCTAGGGTTGTCCCCAGGGTCCCCTCCTGGTGTTCACCCCACTGTGATCTAGCCCCTTGAGTGTGGACATGACCTGTGACTGCAGAGGTGATGAGATTTAATTTTCTGTATATAATCATGTTATCTACCATGTTAAGTATGTTAGGTAACATGTGTCTACCTCAACTCTTGCATGCTGACTTTGATAGACCAAGTATCCATGCTGGCAGGCCCAAATGACAAGAAACTTTTTTTTTTTTTGATAGATGGAGGTGAAGGTGTCGAAAATTTTATTAACATTTAGTTTAAAAAGCTTTACACCTGTGCCATGCCAAGACATAGAAGGTTCTTAAAGAAGTTACCCATTAGGGTTTGCTCCTTGGTTTAGGAGTCGTGGGGCCTTGGTATTGCTTTGTTAAGCGGTTTAAGAATTCATGATCTTGGTCCAGGGCTGGTAATACTGTGCCACTTTCTTCTCCCTCAGAAAAATGGTTCTCGATAATGTTCAAAGCAGTCAGAGCAACCTGAGGGTTCTCATGAAGTTGCAAAGCCTCGATTTTATCAATGCCACCCATTTCCTCTATCAGAAGACACGGGTTTTCCTTCTCTGAAAGCTTCTCTGCTGCCTGGAGGATAAAAGAGATAACATCAAGGATGATGATAAAAATTTTGCTGTCTTGGATGGTACGCAGATTCACCAGTGGCTCCAGGACACCAGAGTGGACAAGCTGGATCAACTGGTCTATGGTGCCTCCAGTTGTGAAGTTAGCCACGGTCCAAACGGCCTCTTTCTGGACTTTAAATTCTCCGTTTTTCAGCAGAGCCACCAAAGGAGGCAGCATGCCGCAAGCTATCAGCCGCTGGATGTGCTGGCGAGGCCCTGCAGCCACGTTGCTCAAGGCCCAAGCTGCTTCCCTCTGGATGGAGGACTTGGGGTGCATCCGGAGCTGGGGCAACACGGGCAGCATGCCCGCGTCGATGGCCACCTGGGTCTGGTGATCCGTTCCCGTGACGATGTTCCCCACGGTGTGGAGGGAGGGGGTCAAGACATTGAGCTCCGAGCTGCTCATGAGCCGGACCAGCTCTTTAGGAAGTGAGGGAGGCCTCCAACCAACAGCCTACAAGCCTTTCAGCCAATAGCCAACAAGAAAGAAAATGGAAACCTCAGCCCTACGACTACAAAGAAACAAATTCAGGTACCCAGTGAGCTAGGAAGATGATATTTCCCCAGTCAAGCATCCAAGAGTCCTCTATCCTAGCTAACATCTCAATAGCATCCTTATATAGGACTCGGCTACACCATGCCCAGACCCACAGAAACTATCACATAATACATGTGGGTTATTTGATTAATTCAAGGTCACCTGCTATGCAGCAATAGATAACTAATACAGTTAGCCAACACACTTAGCATCTTCAGCAGCCCGTGTCCCATCTAAAATAACCGATATGAAGAACTGAACCTGCAATCTTTATCTAATGGAAGACATATATTTAAAAAAGGGAAAGGGGAGGGCCCTATAGTGGGAACATTCCCTTTCACTACTATGCAACCCTTCATACATATCCCCAACAGTGAAGTGGCGCACACATCCGTCCGTCATGCCTTGCAGGTCTCCCTGATATCACGCCTATAAACCCTGGCCTGGACTCAACAATACATCTAAGTCATTTTACTTTCCACAGCAAGAAAACAAATGGTCAACTTTTAAATAATTTACACATGAAACCTCTTGGTTTCCATCCATATCTTGTGTGATCCCTGCATACCTAGATCTTTTCTTACTCTTGTTTTTTTTTCGGTTTTGTTTTACTTTTTTTTTTTTTTTTCTGTCTAAATGAATACAGAAGGAAACATTGAGGGGAAGAAAAACAAAAAATAAAAAGTAGGTCAAAATTAGGGTTTCAGAAACCGACTCAACACACTATACAGTCAATTACATCAGTAACAAAAAGGCAAAATAAGGAAATTTAAAAATTATTATTGCAAACTTGAAGAAGTATCTTTGAAGCAGTCTATATTAGTAGTTAAGATTAAATTATTGGGTCCAGTAATTCCTCAGGCCTAGTTCACTATCTACTATATGATGACTAAAATTGAGACTTGGTGTCCTTTGTAAAATAATTTCTCATTGCATGACTTAACGTTTATGAAACACATACAATTATATTGTTATTTTTAAAACAAATAACCCAAGTACATGTACTTAAGCAAGGCAATCATAAACTCCAGACACCAACTACAAGATAATTTTTAAATCTAAATGACTAGGCAAAATGGAAGGACAAATTAAAGACTTAATGAACAAACACAAAAACCAAACTACTCTTTTTAGAGCTTTAGCCAAGATCCTACTGTACACATTTCACAAAATCTATGCATACCATAAAAGTGTGCTGAGAAAACTTATTACAACTCTCAATATGCAAAAACTGAGTGGCTCTGAAAAGAGCCTTTGGGTTGCGGTCGGCTGCAGGCGGGCTCACTTGGAGCTGGTGTACTTGGTGACGGCCTTGGTGCCCTCGGACACGGCGTGCTTGGCCAGCTCCCCGGGCAGCAGCAGGCGCACGGCCGTCTGGATCTCCCGCGACGTGATGGTCGAGCGCTTGTTGTAATGCGCCAGGCGGGACGCCTCGCCCGCGATGCGCTCGAAGATGTCGTTGACGAACGAGTTCATGATGCCCATGGCCTTGGACGAGATGCCCGTGTCGGGGTGCACCTGCTTCAGCACCTTGTACACGTACACCGAGTAGCTCTCCTTGCGGCTGCGCTTGCGCTTCTTGCCGTCCTTCTTCTGCGCCTTGGTCACCGCCTTCTTGGACCCCTTCTTCGGCGCCGGGGCCGACTTGGCGGGCTCGGGCATGGTAATCTCAAAACTAGAGAAATTGGGACCACCGAGAAAAACAAAGGAAGACGAAAATCCAGAATATTAAAAGCACCTATATACAAATGAAAGTTCAAAAAGCTGCATTTTCATTGGACCCAATGTGGCCAATAGATTAATAGTATGTAAATTAGGAATTGCAAACCTGCTTTTCTTATTGGACGAATAAACGAATGCTTTCAGGGACACCAATGGGTTGATTTACATACCGCTTCATTACTGTAAGTGCATTCACTAAAACACACACAGACACACTCCCAATAAAACCTTATTTTTTAACTTTGAAAGTAAGTAGAAACCTTCGAATTTGGACGCGAAAACCAAGGAAGGGATTTAATCCCATTATCGAGCCCAGTCCAGTCGTAACTTTAGCTTCTTTGGCTTTATCACAAATTGTCCATGACTTCCGGCAAGAATCCCGAGATGCTAGACAATTACTATTGTTAAATCTTCTCAAAAGACTCGATCGCCGCCATCTTCTTCAAGGTTCCGCCTTGCAAACCTTTTCTCAGGACTCTCGCCATTACTCCCCGGCTGACATTTTTAATTCCTCAAAACCAAACAGCCCAGTCCAATCACCAGTTTGAGTCAAATCCGGTATTAAAGAGCCAGGGGTTCCAGGATACTGCAATTTTAAAACGTGAATCCTGAAATAATGAAATTCTTTACGTCTTAACACTATGACCTAGGAGACTATACTACAATGAACTAGATATTTGCTGTCAGTATAACGAAATAGAACTCGCGAGATACTTACACAGTGGAATTTGCAAATAGATAAGGACAGGAAATACCACCCAGATGAAAACGGGATAACAGGAAAATGGCGGACATTTTGTTAAGAAGAGGAATTGTAAAGCGCTTTCTCTTTCGAACATATTCTATTTTCTCTACCGAAACAGGAGGAAACTTCAAAATTATTACTAACGATAATTACTAACGATAAGGAGTTGTGAAGCACCCTCAAAGAAACAAATAACTTAGAATTGTTTTTTTTAAGGGGGCTGGGAAGATGTCGGCTAATTGAAATCGGCCAATCAGAAACGCGCATGGGTCCGCTAAGCCAATGAGGAATCACTCCTGCACTTCCGGGGCCGCGCTGCCGTGACTCCTGGAAGCGCCCGCAGCCCAATCAGAGGGATTCTGCTGCTGTATAAAAGCAGCGCCGAGCGCCACGCCCGGTTTTTTCCCTTCGCCGCTGAGCCATGGCCCGCACGAAGCAGACGGCGCGCAAGTCGACGGGCGGCAAGGCCCCGCGCAAGCAGCTGGCCACCAAGGCGGCCCGCAAGAGCGCGCCGGCCACCGGCGGCGTCAAGAAGCCGCACCGCTACCGGCCCGGCACGGTGGCCCTGCGCGAGATCCGGCGCTACCAGAAGTCCACCGAGCTGCTGATCCGCAAGCTGCCGTTCCAGCGGCTGGTGCGCGAGATCGCGCAGGACTTCAAGACCGACCTGCGCTTCCAGAGCTCGGCCGTCATGGCCCTGCAGGAGGCGTGCGAGGCCTACCTGGTGGGGCTCTTCGAGGACACCAACCTGTGCGCCATCCACGCCAAGCGCGTCACCATCATGCCCAAGGACATCCAGCTGGCGCGCCGCATCCGCGGGGAGCGGGCGTAGATGGGATTTCCTGGTTCCGTGCCAACTTTAAATCCAAAGGCTCTTTTCAGAGCCAACCACTTTATTCTGTGACAGAGGCCGTGGCACTCAAGGTCGGATTTTTTTTTTTTTTTTTTAGGTTTTACTTATTTATTTTGACAGAGACACAGTGAGGGAGGGAACACAAGCAGGGGGAGTGGGAGAGGGAGAAGCAGGCTTCCCGCCGAGCAGGGAGCCCGATGTGGGGCTCGATCCCAGGACCCTGGGATCATGACCTGAGCCGAAGGCAGGCGCCCCAAGGTCGGATTTTTGATAGAACCCTAGCTCTAACCTGGCGCAGGCCTAAAAGGCCTTTGGGGGACCGTCTTGGAATTAACCTCTCAAGAAGCCGGTAGTTGTTCTAATAGTGATAACACAGTTTTATGCTAAATATCTGTTTTTCTTTACCTTAAACGCAGGTCTGGCACATTTAGGTTTTGGCTTTCAGGTTTCTTGGCTCTATCCCTAACCTTGGAAATTACTAGTTTCACCTTTTGTATTGTGGATGTTTTCTTGACTCTTGCATCCTAGGTGCTCTTCGAAGTTAACTTCTTGGGGCTGTTGCAAGGATTGGCCCGCTGTGGTTTGGGGGGGCTAGACAGCCTTCGATTGAGCCTTCAAAGCTTCCGGTTATCTTTCCCAGAGTTCGCCTTGTTGAACTTGCACGACCCCAAGGGGCCAGAACGTTTGGTCTGCACTTTGCTTAACAGAATCTGGGGGCCCAACTCCCTAGCGACCGCCAGAACCTTGAGGAGGGCGATCAAGGATACACCCCTATGCCTCTTACAGGGAGCCAAATCTTAGGTTAGTAGCGGGGGGACCGAAAGGTAAAGAACCCCCCTTTCCCTGCGGACTTCTTGGCGTCCCTCTTTACCGGGGTCTCTGATACAGGCTAAGCAACCAACAAGAGCGGCTTGGGTGGGTCTCAGAAAGTACCCCTGGGAATGAAGAACTCAGGGATTAGGAAACTTTTTAGTGACTTTTTTTTTCTAAGATTTTATTTTCAGTAATCTCTACACCCAACGTGGGCCTGGCTGGAATTTACTAATCCGGGATCAAGAGTTGCATCCTCTACTCAAGAGTTGCATCCTCTACAGATTGAGCCAGCCGGCTGCCCCTTAACTGATACTCTTAAAAAAGGCTCGCTCAGTTGTCCTAAATTCTCTATATTAATCTCTAAATTAAATCTCATGAGAGTACCTCATATTTGTCAGTAAGACAGGACAATCCTTTAGAAGCTGCATAGTTTTCTTGCAGAAAATACTCTATCCTCTTACGTCCCTACAAGAAAACAAGTTTCTGTGATACTCATTAAACAGATATTCCCTTCCCATGGAAATAACAGGTTCGTCAGTTTCTAAACTAGTAGCCCAATGGAAGGGAAATCAGGAATTCTGTTCTGAAAGCATTCAGGCAGTTATTTGGAAATGTAGAAGGATGTTTACTAATAGGGATACTGTATGCTATTTGGAAGGATTTCATCTATTTAAATGCTTCAGCAAATTTAAGTTTGGAGATGGGAGAAGTTATACTTAACTATAGAATTAAGAGGCCTCTGTCAATTTTTTTATGGGCTGTTTCCCCTCAAAGGATCACTAAGGAAAGAGATTAGTCAAGTGGTACATTTAACAGGGACTAAGCTGTAAATAAAGTACACAGACAAGTTACCATAGTAAGAAGTCCTGGAGGTTTTATAGAAGAAATTTTTGTTCTTGGAACTCCCAGGCATTGAGACTTGGGAATGTGGGAATTAGGGACTCTGGGTCCCTATGGAAAAGAGCATAGCTATCCATAACTGAAATCACTGGAGTGTTGGATATTTGTAATGTTGGATAAAGGCATTCATGTTAGACTGTAGTTTCCCATATCCTGTACTTTCTTTGAGATTCTAGCACAGTTTTTTAATGTGTGTTTCTGTCTCACCAAATGTTGGTTGTTAAGACATGAGGACATAGCAGGCACAGAAAACATCTTGTCGTATCATTAAATCCATCAGAACATCTAGAATCTTTTGCCTAAAACAAACACTCAGGATTTTTTTTAGTTAAATTGGAATTTAAAATCAAAATTTGGGGCTCCTGGGTGGCTCAGTCAGGTAACATCTGCCTTCGGCTCAAGTCTTGATCCTGGGGTCTTGGGATTGAGTCCCACATCAGGCTCCCTGCTCCACCGGGAGCCTGCTTCTCCCTCTGCCTCTGCCTGTCTCTCATGAATAAATAAAATCTTTTAAAATAATAATAATAAAGAAAATAAAATAAAACATTATTGGAGAAAACGGGCACCTAGGTGGCTCAGTAGGTTAAGCATCTGCCTTCGGCTCAGGTCATGTCATGATCCCAGGGTCCTAGAACTGAGTCCTGCATCAGGCTCCCTGCTCAGCATGGAGTCGGCTTCTCCCTCTGCCCCTCACCCCTGCTCCTGCTTTCTCTCTCTAATAGTTTTAAAAATTATTGGAGAAATAGATTACTGTTTGGTACATTCTTGATTACAGAAATAAAAGATTGATTGAGTTCATGTAATTTTAATATATAATTTTCCTAAGTAGAAATAAATTTGAGTGGGTCGCAAATAGCCAGAAGTCAGGTATAAGTCTCCAAAATATGCGGAAAGTTCAATCATGATCTACTAATATTATCTATTATATACAATTATTATTCTATTACTGCTTTACAGATAAGGAAACTGAAGTAAGAAAGTTTCAGATAATAAGGGGTAGAGCCAAAACTTTTTCCATTAGGCATTACTATATTAAACAACAGCATCAACATAATACTCATCACTTATCCCTGAAGGTTTTATTCCCAGGAAAAGCTGTCAAAGGAAGACTGACATCTTTATCCTAATTCTTTCATATCTGTTAAAGGAAATGGAATGGTTTTGAAAATTTATAGGGCCCTATATGATTGTGAAGTTCTATTATACTATAATCATAACAGCCAGTTGCAGAGAGATATGACCAATGCACAACAATAAAAATATAACATGACCATGGACAATTTTTAGCCTTCCTACCAAAACATTCAAACAATTCTCATGTTTAAGACACACAAACACAATAATTTTTTTTAAAGATTTTATTTATTTATTTGACAGAGAGAGACACAGTGAGAGAGGGAATACAAGCGGGGGGAGTGGGAGAGGGAGAAGCAGGCTTCCCGCTGAGCAGGGAGCCCGATGCAGGGCTCGATCCCAGGACCCCGGGATCACGACCTGAGCCCAAGGCAGATGCTCAACGACTGAGCCACCCAGGCGCCCCCGCACACACACACAATATTTTTTTTAATTTTAAAAGGTATACATTGAAATAGTAGTACTTGTTATCAAGTTTTTTAAGTAAATTTTTATTGGAGAAGGATCACAAATATTACTCAAGTCACATTTCGTATGTGCCTACTGGTACATTGAGTTGTATATCCATTTTAGGCTAACGTTGTTGCCTATAATTACATATCATTTTGTTTAAATGTATAATCTCTGAATGACCAGGAGCTTTCCCTTATGGCAATGATAACTAAAAGTCAACACAATTCAGAAATTCCATTTCATTCTGCATACCCTTCCTACCCCATCTGACCACAGGTAAATATTGATGTTTTATATCAGGAGACTTTTTTACCATAAAAATGCTATAAATATTTTTTCTTTTTGCAGTAGCCCCAACACGTTGGGCAGCATACTTCAGAAAGTAAGGGAAATAATGTATAAGTCAAGCCAAGGGGAAGAGGGACATAAAAGGGGCAGGGAGATTTATTACTCTTGGCTTCCTACATAGAAAAACAGAAAATAAAGTTACTCAATCTATTTAATATCTGGGGATAATCTCACCCATTGGACAGAATTAAAAACTCAGTCCATTCTGAGATAATCACGTCACACCTGTCAGAATGGCTAAACAAAAACACAAGAAACAACAGTGTTGGCAATAATGTGCAGAAAAAGGAACCCTCACGCACTGTTGGTGGGAATGCAAACTGCTGCAGGCACTGTGCAAAACACTATGGAGGTTCATCACAAATTAAAAGGAAAACTGCCCTAAGACCCAATAATCACACTACTATTTATCCAAAAAATACAAAAACGTTCCTCAAAGGGATACAGGCACCCCTATGTTTATTGCAGCATTATTTACATTAGCCAAATTATGGAAGCAGCTCAAATGTCCATCATCAACTGATGAATGGATACAGAAGAGGTGGTATACACATATATATATATACACACACACACACACACAATGGAATACTACTCAGCCATAAAAAAAGAATACAATCTTGCCATTTGCAACAACTTGGATAGAGCTAGAGAGTATAACGCTAAGCAAAGTAAATCAGTCGGAGAAAGACAAATACCATATGATCTCAATCATGTGGAATTTAAGAAATGAAACAAAAGAGCAAAGGGGGGGGGGAGAGAAAGACAAACCAAGAAATAGACTCTTAACTATAGAGAACAAACTGATAGTTACAAGAAAGAAGGTGGTTAAGGGGATGAGAGAAACAGGGGATGATGATTAAAAAGTACACCTATCATGATAAAAAACAAAAAACAAAAACAAAAACCTCAGTCAATTAAAAACACACAGAGTAGTGGAAAAACGACAAAGAAGAATAACACCCTAATGTATACTTTAATGAGAGAAAAGAATAGGAGCATTATTAATTTACCACTGATAATAATGGCACCCAACTGTTAAATGTCATCAAAACACATTATAAGAAGACTTTTTAATTAGGGGAATTTATACATGGAGACGGAACTTGAGATGGAATTGGAAAGACTCTCCCAGGTAGAGAAGAGAGAAGGAATGGCAGGTGAACAACTTGTTTAAAAAAACAACAACAAAAACCACAAATAAATAAGGCATTGAAAGGTAAATGTGAGTTGTTATTAGTGCTAATTAATGCAAACAGACGGTATTATTATGAAAAAAGACTACAAAGTTCTCACTTGAACCAGAGGCCCCGGGGAGCCAGTGACCCTATTCATAAGACCTGTAACAGAATGACCAGAATTTAGGAATTAGGGGCTGGAGACACTGGAATTAGGATGCTGCTTAGGAAACTAAGACCATCCCAAGTATGAGAGGAGAAGGAGAGCATGTGAGAAAGGAGAAAATGTCAGTTGCCTAGACTCTTTAAACATCAACCTGCTTCTTCAGTGACTGACTGGCAGGCATAATCAATGCCTCAACACAGTGCCATGAATTCAGGGTGCCTCTTCCAGCCGCAAAGAGTCAGGTGATTGCTAAGCAGAAAGCAGAAAGTGGTCACTGCAGCCTGGTCCCAAAAGTTACTTTTGGCTCAGACCTATGACGTGCATAGGTACACTCCTGCGTTTAAGAAAACTTGAACATGTGCTTCACACTTTCCATGTTAAGACAACCGGTTGATTGGTTGATTGGGTTGTGCGGCTCAGAGAGAACTACTCACAAAGGCTCCTGTCTGATGTTTTGCCATTCTCAAGTATCAGTCTGTTGGGTCCTTCTAAACCCGGGCTTCTGCCACTACAAGTTGGCAGACCATCTTTGTGCAGCAAAAGAGCATCAGAAACCCAAGCACGAGCATTTCAAGAGACCCTCAGAGGGAGACTAGGGATGTGGCTAATGGTGAAATACAGTGACTGGGAAGGAGCTTCCTGCTCCCTCATCTTCCTGGTGCAGAACATTAAGACGTCTCTAGTCTTCTTGACTCAGGATTTGACTGTAACAAAAATTTGGGGAGATGGAAAAAGACTGAAGTTCTGATGCCCTTGAAACAAAGGCCTGTCCTAGGGAAAGGAATTTGAATAGTAGACCACAGAGTAAAACTAGGTCAGTGATTAAATCATGTTTAAAACTGTGTCTGATGGGGGCGCCTGGGTGGCTCAGATGGTTAAGCGTTTGCCTTCGGCTCAGGTCATGATCCCAGGGTCCTGGGATGGAGTCCCACATCGGGCTCCCGGCTCAGCGGGGAGCCTGCTTCTCCCTCTGACCCTCTCCCCTCTCATGCTCTTTCTCGCTCGCTCGCTCTCTAAAATATAAATAAAAAATCTTAAAAAAAAAAAAAAAAAACTGTGTCTGATGGGGGGGCACCTGGGTGGCTCAGTTGGTTAAGCGACTGCCTTCGGCTCAGGTCATGATCCTGGAGTCCCGGAATCAAGTCCCACATTGGGCTCCCTGCTCAGCGGGGGGTCTGCTTCCCCCTCTGCCCCCTTCCCTCTTCCCTCTCCTGCTCTCTGTCTCTCATTCTCTCTCTCTCAAATAAATAAAATCTTAAAAAAAAAAAAATTGTGTCTGATGGGGTGCCTGGGAGGCTCAGTCGTTAAGCGTCTGCCTTCGGCTCAGGTCATGATCTCAGGGTCTTGGGATCGAGTCCCACATCGGGCTCCCTGCTCGGCAAGAAGCCTGCTTCTCCCTCTCCCATTCCCCCTGCTTGTGTTCCTGCTCTCGCTCTCTGTCAAATAAATAAATGAAATCTTTAAAAAAAATAAAATAAATAAAATTGTGTCTGATGCATTCCAAAGGGCTTGTGAATTAGATAACTCACACAGGGCCTAAAACAGAATCACATGAACTCTACTACCTTCCTAGATGAGCCTAAAAATGAAACCAAGAACTCCACCCCTTTTGTAGTTCATATAATAGATGGGCGCAGTGTAAAGAAACAGACCCTAGGAAGAAAGAAACTTGCATTTGAGACCCAGGTCCACCATTTCCTGACAAGGCGATTCTGCTCATTTCATCTTTCTGAGCCACAATTTTCTTAGCTGTGAAACAAGCATTTTAACTATGCCTAATACAAAGTCTTTCTAGGGAGATCAGAGTGTTCTGTAAACTGTAAAGAACTACAGCGATATTCCGTAGTCATTCTGACCACTCACTGAATACCGCATTGTGGCATAATTCCCTTATTCTCATTGCTCTTCATCAAAAGACTAGCGCTCTCATTCTGGGTATAAAAGAGCTCACAGGTCTCTTGCTCCCTAACTTTCCCACTCCACACAAACTCTGGTCTTCAAAAAGATTCTTTTGAGTAAATATTTCACATTCCCTCATTTATCCAGATCTCATTCTCAAACAAGCCACTATCATAAAGGTTTTTTGGACTCTTAATGGAAAGAAGAAATTATGGTTTGCAGCTGCAATTGGGGAAAACCGAACTACTACTTAGAAGAGCTAGAAAGATACTGGCAGGCTATATTACCCCACCCTGCTGTGCAAAAGTTTAGTCAATTTCAATCAGCTATTAACCAATAAGCATAGGAGAAGGAGGCTGTAAACAAATTAAGTGGAAAGGTATTTCAACTGTGAGGTATTTGTGTGCCCACTGGAGATATACTCACCAGTGTATGACTTCTTTCCTACTATAGATTCTTTGGATGGTCTGGGGAAACCTATAGACACCTTCTCAATAGTAAAGCATACAAGATAGGAAAGCGACATTAAAATTGCTATCATATTATTTAAGTATGTGCATATAATAATATGTTTCATTAGGAACACATATAACTAGAAGAAGCAGGTAGAATAATGAATGTCACTGTCAAGAGCTCAGAATGAGTGTAAACTTTATTTCAAGATATCTGCATACTTCAAGTGATAAGAAAACAGGTGCTTGCCATTGCTGAAAAAGCCACAGGCACTTGCAAAATCCATTTTGATTAGCTGCCTATACACAACTGAAGGAAATGCTAAATTGCATCTGCACTTCATGAAGATAAAGACACAATGTTTCCCCATCCAGGTTTACAGCCCCATAATGATCTGTAGGACTCAGATTTTTGCCAAGATTTCCCAGTAAAATTAAGTGGGCTTCCCTGAAATAAAAAATGAAAATAAAAACACCTCAGCCCTGGGAACAAAACAGCCAGATCAACCCATCTAGAACCCATTTATTTTGCCCTGGTCACCTCAACTCCGGGAACTTTCTAACAAACCGCACAGCCTTCCGAGAGATTTTTCTTTTATTGTTTCACCTTTCCTATTCCTTGAGTATTCGGCAGAAATATTCGACAGCCAAGCATGGCTCCCCGGAACCTCTCAACAATCTAGGGAAAGGAATCTGGCAAAGAGTAAATGATAAACCACCAGAGGTGACGTTTACATTTTTTACTACTCTTTAGCATCAGAGTGGTAAGTAATTACATGCAGCTTTAGCGAAGAAAAGCGTGAATAGTCCCGCAAAGGAGGACTCCATCTGATCAAGTAAAAAACAAACAAAAAAAAACCCCAAGATTTTCTACTGTTTCACAATATATACAACTTTTAGTATCTCAACCTCTAATTGGTGAAGCATTTTCTTTCTCTAGGGCACACGTAAGCCAAGAGTACCTTCTGATTGGCTAACTCTCAACAGCCTCTGCAAACCAATGGGAAAGGAAATTTTACCAAACAGACAGGCACTATAATAACCCCTTCCTCCGATGAGCTTGAGAATCAGTTTCTTCTCGAATATGTCCGGGCGCGGGAAGCAAGGCGGCAAGGCGCGCGCCAAGGCCAAGACTAGGTCATCCCGGGCCGGCCTGCAGTTCCCGGTGGGCCGCGTGCACCGCCTGCTCCGCAAGGGCAACTACGCCGAGCGGGTGGGCGCCGGCGCGCCCGTCTACCTGGCGGCCGTGCTCGAGTACCTGACGGCCGAGATCCTGGAGCTGGCGGGCAACGCGGCGCGCGACAACAAGAAGACGCGCATCATCCCGCGCCACCTGCAGCTGGCCATCCGCAACGACGAGGAGCTCAACAAGCTGCTGGGCCGCGTCACCATCGCGCAGGGCGGCGTCCTGCCCAACATCCAGGCCGTGCTGCTGCCCAAGAAGACCGAGAGCCACCACAAGGCCAAGGGCAAGGGAAGGCTCTACAACAGCGATGGCTACCCAAAGTCCCAAGGCTCTTTTCAGAGCCGCCAATTCGTCCTACGAGAACTGTGACCGACTGGCTGGGCGCATAAGCGCTTTCCGGCTGCGGCAGGGTGCGCGCCGAAACAGGACCCGGTCGCTTTAAGGGAAAGCGAGCCAATCCGACGCGGGCGGCAAATTTCGAAAGCGCTCCGTACGAGCAAGCGAGCGGCATGCAGGTTCTAACACATATAAGTAGAACAGAGTAACGGCTAAATGAAATACTTACTAGTTACTAAGCTCTTTTGCCCGATAGTAGTGGGTGGCTCTGAAAAGAGCCTTTGAAATTTCCAGAGCAGGACATCCCGCTACAATTTTTACTTCTTCTTCGGCGCCGCCTTCTTTGCCTTTGTCGCCTTGGGCTTGGCCGCTTTAGGCTTGGCTGCCTTGGGCTTCGGGGCTTTGGCCTTGGCTGGACTCCGGGCGGCCTTCTTGGGCTTGGCAGCCTTCGCCTTCTTCGGACTCTTGGCCGCTTTCTTGGCGACAGCCGCCGCCGCGGGCTTCTTGGCCTTCTTGGGGGTCTTCTTGGCGCTCTTCTTGGGGGTGCTCGCCCCCGCGGCCTTCTTGGGCTTCTTGGCCGCCCCGGAGGCCCTCTTGGGCTTGGCCGCGCCCGCCTTCTTGGCTTTGGGCTTGGCCTCCCCGGAGGCCGCCTTCTTGTTGAGCTTGAAGGAGCCCGAGGCGCCGGTGCCCTTGGTCTGCACCAGGGTGCCCTTGCTCACCAGGCTCTTGAGGCCCAGCTTGATGCGGCTGTTGTTCTTCTCCACGTCGTAGCCGGCGGCCGCGAGCGCCTTCTTGAGCGCGGCCAGGGACACGCCGCTGCGCTCCTTGGAGGCGGCGACGGCCTTGGTGATGAGCTCGGACACCGGGGGCCCGGACGCCTTGCGCTTGGCGGCAGCCACGCCCGTCTTCTTCGCCTTCTTCTTAACCGGCGTCTTCTCCGCAGGTGCGGGAGCAGCAGGAGGAACCGGCGCGGTCTCCGACATCTTCCTGCTTCGCCAACAGAGACCCAAAGGACGCGCAAACTGTCGGAACGGCGTGCCTCGCAGCCGCGCGGCCGGGGGTTTATATAGGGAGCGGCTGAGTGATGATTGGCTCCCTGCGCCGTGCGCCGCGCTGCTCAGAAGGGCTCCTCCGCTGCGCGGTGTGGCTGTGTTTCTTTCCTCTCAAAAAAGAAGAAAAACGTAAGAAATCTGGGCATGAAATCCTTAGAGATTCGGGGGAAACGGATCCAAGAGTCCTCAGGCTTCATCCCTGCCTTATTTGCTACACCTAGTTTCAAAGCCAGTACCCCGAAACTTTCCCCATTCCCCCAGCTCTCTTTAAAACTTGGCTCACATTGAGACAACTTTCAGATTTTCCTTAAAAATGCTCTTTCTCTCTCTTTCCTTTGCACGTCTGTCTCCCGGGGCATTGTTCTGCACATTCTTTTCTTTGCAAGTTTATATAAATAAGCTCATTTTCACTCAAATATGCAAGGAAAGACGCTTTTTTCGCGAGAGCAATAGCACAGCTCTCCCGCAGTTGTTTGCACGAAGCCCTGGGAATTGGCACTGGGATAGAACATTCTACGTACAAGATGGATAACGATTCTTTTTAATAGATTCATTTTTAAGTATTTGAGTGACCAGTGTGTAAACTGTGTTCGATCCCCGTGTTTTGGAGATTTAAACATATTAGGAAGGATGGGGGACGAGGATGGATGCCCCATTCCTTTTCCACATAAAAAGTTCTAAATAGCAACTTACCTAAAATAGTGGTGGAATAGATTTTTCAGACCTGGGATGGGCATTAGAGATCAACCACCAAATCTACAAGGAACAAAAGTGAATCGTGAAGCTCTACAATGGTAGTTCTACCTCATTTTACCAGTTAGGAGCTGAAGAACACAAACTCATGTGTTTATATCCCATCTCCTTAAAACTGTAAATTACTTAATGACACTCTGTCCATAAGATATGTTCTCTCCAATACTTAGCATGGAATTTTGTTTGTTCATATGTCCTGTATTTCAAGATGATATTTAAAGTACAAATTTTATTTGACTCTTTTCCAACATCGCCAGTAGGGACACAAGATTAGAAGGGAAAAGTTCTCATTTAAATCACTCTTTCTGAGTTTTCATAATGTTCCCTGGGCTTTTTACTGACAGAATATGAAGTGGGCTGTCACGACGTCAACTATTTGGCTAAATATGTCCACCTAAGAAGTGGAACAAACATTTCACAGCCAACGTGACCCACTTTACTGCTTTACTGTTGGTTTGCAACACAACAGAGCTAATGAAATTAGGTAAATATTGGATAATTAAGCACAAATTTAATATCTACTAAATAGATACTGAAATTAAACTCCATGCTTGTTAAAACAAATAAACAAGAACAGTATTTTGGTGTTATGTCTCTTCTAACAAATACCCTTATTTCCAAAAATTTTGTTATTCGGGTTTACATTCGATGATGATTTACGATTTTTCTCAAATAAATCCAAGATAAGATCATCAGTTTTGAAGATGTCATCTCTCCACACTAACACTTAATTCCATAAAAGTCACTTGGCCTGTTTTTAAATAGCCATTTATTGACTGGCACTGACTGAAACCAAGCCTCTGGGGCTTGAGTCCATGTTAAAAACCAAACACAAATATTGTGTTTAGACAGTACACTTATAGGATTGGATCTGCAGTGTGCAGTTCTCCCTAAGCAGGCATTTCATGTGTGTGTAAAAGGGGCTGTTTGTCATCCTCAGTAGCATCAATGTCAATAGCTATGGTCCCAGACATTACATAGACCCTGTTCCTTCTCAGACCAGAGCCTATATTATCATCTAGACCTAAAGATAGAATTATAACTCAGATTTGTAAAAGTTTACCATTTTGGTCATCATTGTAGCCAAAACATCAGTTGTTGAAAACTCCTTGGAATTGCTCCCTAAGTTACATACACTCAATTTAAGATGGGGGACAGGATCCCACAGCAGATGTCACCATTCCATTCTTGTCCAACTCTTATGGTTTCCAGGGCTATTTAGGTTCTAAATAAGTAAGAAGACTTTGGGGCTATTTCCTTCACTGTGGGTAATCTCTGCCCTTCCTGAGGGGCAATAATTGAGACTTGATTCCACCTGAAAAGTTCTTCCCCAGATGTTTATAGAAGGTTGGGGCTTGGGTGCATATACTTACTGCTATGGCCTGAGACCGAGGTACTTATCCTCTCTGTATGTGTAGCGTAAACAGGCTTCTGGAAAGCTGGCTCATCCCAAGGGACTGGGAACTTGAAAGGTTCCACCTATTACTTGGGTAGCCCACGAAAATGTTGTGTTCCTTACTTTTAAGGTCTGAGTCTGTATACATTTTAAGACAATTGATTTTGCACTGGACTGAAATTTGCACCACTAATTTTATAGATATAAAAATAACTGAGAAAAAGCACAGTTGGATGAGTGATGGATAGCTCACGTAGGAATTCATGTTCTCCCAATTTTAATGTCAACCTCCCTTTCATCACAGGAAACCACTCTGAAAGATCTAGGTAGCACTCACCAGGTCAGTCCACAGTGGCTGTACTTACGTGTTCCAAAATTCAGTGAATTTCAGAGTTTAAGAAGAAAAGTAACTGTAAGTTAATAGCAAAAAAGAGTGAAGACAGCATAAGGGTTCTATGGCAGATAGAGCATTGTGTTAGAATCAAATGTGTTCAGAAGGGCCCTGAGAAAGCACATCTATTTTAATTTCCTATCAGATGGTCTCATCTGAGAGCACTCTCCCACTTGAAACTCCTCTCCAAAGATCTCATTTTATTTCCTATGAGGGGCAATACCGACGCCAAACTTCCAATTTCCTTTTTGTATGTCCCTCTCTATCTGTGATATCTGTTATACCCAGAGGTTGACTAATCGCTCTCATATTTCAAAAACACTCCGACCCTCACTTCCTGCAGTAAGCCTGATTTTCAAATATGCACCACACTCCCTTCCCCGTCTGGACTAGAAGTTCCTCAGAAGAAATTCACTGTCACAGAACAGCCCAACAGCACGTATGTGCAATGATGGACGTGTTCTTTATCTGCACTGTCAAGTAGACAGCCACTACCGACATGTGGCTATTTAGCAGTTAAATGTGGCTAGAGTGACGGAAGAAATTTTTAATTTGATTTCATTTTAATTACTGTACATTTAAATGAGCGCACGTGACCAGTGGTTAACTAGGGCAGCATGGCTTTAAAACAATTTCTTGGGATGCCTGGGTGGCTCAGTCCATTAAGCGTCTGCCTTCGGCTCAGGTCAGGATCTGGGACCCTGGGATCCAGCCACCCCCAGCCCCCACCCCACCTGCCAATGAGCTTCCTGCTCAGCGGGGAGCCTGCTTCTCCCTCTCCCTCTGCTCCTACGCTCGCTCTCAAATAAATAATATCTTTAAAAAAACCTCTTCTCAAACTTGAATGAGCATACCACCCACTTGGAGATACTGTTAAAAATGCCATATCAATTCAGTAGACTTGGGGTCGGGCCTAAAAATCTGTGCGTCTAACAAGCTCCCAGGTGAGACTAAGACTGTTGGAATACAGCCGCTGCACCCATTACTGCTAGATGGAAACTGTTATTCAGGGCCGATGTCTGACCCCTCACCCTGAGTTTACTTTTCTCTTCCTTCTTCTTACGCTTTGAGTTCCTTAAAAGAACCTGTATGATTGTCTTTGTAAACCTGTTGTTTGTACATTGATCTTGGCATATACTAGACCCTGAGTTCTTGAATGAATGAACGAATCAGTGATTCTTCTTTGATGCGTGGAAGATCACTGGGTCTTAAGTCTGCAGGTAACTGTAACTGAGCTAAATTTCAATAATGTCTGCCTAAGGGAAATCTAAAATCGGCTGACTGCCTATACGGTAAGTACCAGCAGAGAAGGAATTTTTTAAGTTACCTTTTATAGTACACAGAAGGGAGGCACTTATTGTGAATGTACAGAATGAGTAAATATTGCCATTTGTCTATTAAGCATATCTATGTATCATCTATGTATAGAATGTTAATTCTGCAACTCTTTTTACTTGGACAGTATTTCAGTTTATTAGCATTTATGTTTATTATTAGTTCTGTTGACTTGCAAACTTTTACACAGCATGATGTATCTTCAATATTTTACTGACATAGATTAGTGGTAGGTGACAAGATCAGAAGACCTCAGCTCTACCCCAACAATATCACTTATTAGAACAGGATTAGGTCTCCAAGCCTGGAATTCCTCATCTCTACAATACAAATAGTGCTTTATAAATTTGGGAGTAGAGTTTGCTCCCTTTCCTAGAGTTTCCTTTTTATCAGTAATGCTGAAAACCACGTAAGTATATATGTCCTGCCAAAGGGGAAGGTTCTGTGACCTGCCCTATTTAAATAAGTATTGTTAAAATTGTAAGCATTAATACTTGCATTTTTTAAAAGTCTTCACATTTAAAAATTACTTTTATTCTGTTATCCCTCGCTTTTATAGACAACCGTACCGTCGCTGCCTCCTTTTTATAAATGATAAGAGAGGTGAGGAGACTTATACAATATCAATGATCTGAGAGACCCCACAGGCACAGGACTAGTCGCAGAAACCAGCGATTCCGGCCTCTACAAGGAAAGGGGAGGCAGATGCGGCCCCCACGCCCGCCGCCTCCCCTCGCTAAGCCGGGGCCCCGCCGAGGAAGGTGGGAAGGGGCGGAGCGGAGGTCTCGTCCCGCCCCCAGCGTTTCAGTTTCCTAAACGGTCCGCAAGACGGGTATATAAAGGGCTGCAGGCCGAGCTCCGGGACTGGACTGTAACGATCGCCTGCCGTTCGCGATGTCGGGCCGCGGCAAGGGCGGGAAGGGCCTGGGCAAGGGCGGCGCCAAGCGCCACCGCAAGGTGCTGCGCGACAACATCCAGGGCATCACCAAGCCCGCCATCCGGCGGCTGGCCCGGCGCGGCGGCGTCAAGCGCATCTCCGGCCTCATCTACGAGGAGACCCGCGGGGTGCTCAAGGTGTTCCTGGAGAACGTGATCCGGGACGCCGTCACCTACACGGAGCACGCCAAGCGCAAGACGGTCACGGCCATGGACGTGGTCTACGCGCTCAAGCGCCAGGGCCGCACCCTCTACGGCTTCGGGGGCTGAGCGTTCCCATCTTCCCCCCCGGAACACCGCGAGTCTCACCCAAAGGCCCTTCTCAGGGCCACCCACTCGGTCACAGGAAGAGCTGTTGCCGGAGGACGAAAGTAACATCCGCTACTTTGTCGCTGTTCCTTCCTTCGGACTCTGGCTGGACGGGCGCCCGTTCCCCCGGCGGACCCCGGGGAGGGAAGGCGTGCAGCTTGCATTCGCCGGCCTTGCCTCCTTCCCGTGTTCTGTCCGCTCTGTCCTGGCCGTCCCACCTAGGACTTCATGCCTCCCTTCATTTCCCTGCCAAGCAGCCAGAAGAGGTGGCCTTCAGCCCATGCTCACCCAGCTATTGATGTTCTAAAGGTGCTCTGCTTACCTGAAGACCGGAGTTTGCGTTACGGGATGCCAGAGAGAGCACGCCCTTGTTGACCATGGACAGTTTTCGTCTGTGTTGTCTTAAGCCCACAGATACTATCCATAGCTTTTTTTTTTTAACGAACTAGTGAGCTTTGTGGGCTGTCCTAATTTAACGGTAGTGCTGTAGCCCAGCTTAAGTCCTCTTCTGGCTCCTTCCTATCAATGTATATATACCTGTCTCAACTTAAACCAGACCCCTATCAATTACTAGATCCTAACTATTATGTTAAATCTCCAAGTAATCTGGAGCACCCACGTCTCAGTCACTCTTCATGATTAAACGTCTTCTGCGCCACTCACTAAAATACCTTTGCCACGATTACCAGTGACCTAGTTGCCAAGTTCTAAAGAACACTAAGAACATCCATCTGCTGCAACTGACCTTGTTCATCCCTCCTCCCTTCGCAGTCTCTTCACAGGGTTTTTGGTATCTTTCGTCCTGACCCAGGTCCTGTACTCTCCATGATTCTTCTCCCTTTGCTTTTGGGGTCCTATTCCTCTGCTTGTAATTCTTCCCAATGAACAAACTTGCAGTCTCTTCACATCAGTCTGTAGATCTTCCTTGAGCGATCTCTTCCAGACTCTTCCATAGATGGTGAGACATCCAGGCACCCAGGAAAGAACTGAGGATCAGCTGAAAGGTAGCAGAAGAGGCCATCCCAAATTACAACACTTTGGCATAAGGATTATTTTGAGCTCAAGGCGCTTGAAAAGCAGATGTAAGAATGGGGCTCTGACCTTCCCATTTCTCCCTGAAGGCAGATAATGATCCCATGTGAAAGGAGTCATGCCTATATGAGGAGAAGAATGCATCACTAGAAACAGAGTCATGCTGAGAGAAATCTATACAAACAGACCTTGTTAAAATAACCCTGTATCTCCTTTCGTCCCCTCCTATTTTTGTTGCTATTTCAAGATTATTACTCTTTGTTCAACCTAGCATGTAAGCACTTAGGCCTAACCACTTTCAGGGGCTTCATGTTCCTGTGAAGACTCCCATGAACACATAAAAATATTAAATAACATGTGTATGCTTTTCTCTTGTTACTCTGTTTTATGTCAATTTAATTCTTGGGCTCAGCCAGAGACCCTGAAAGGGTATTGGGACATTCTGCCTCTTGTACACAGCCTTCCAGCCCAATCCTCAAAGCCCTTCTGTGACTGCAGGTTCCTGCCAGATCTTTGCCTGCATCATTCACCGTCCCCCCACCCCCGCACCAGAATCCCTCCACCTCGCTGCAGTCAGAGACCTGAGTGATGTGCACATTTCATTATCCCATCTAGGCCAAACTACAAAAAATAAAAAGGCTTCACTGGTTCTCCCAACATCTGCAGAATAAAAGCCAATTCTTGAGCTTTATCTGGCACCTGCTCACCTGCAGAATCTCCTCTTCCAGCCCGTCTCCCCATCCACCACTGACTTCTCTAGCTGAATATACTGAACAACTTGTCATACTTGGAGTTTTCTTTTCCTCAACAGTATCCTTTATATACATGTGTCTTCGTCCACAAAGAACCTTCAACTTTTGGGGAGGTTTTATAAAAATGCTCTCAGGTTCTCTGGCTGGACCCGCTAAATGAGACTTAAGACAGCCTAACCAGAGGAAAACAAACGGAAGCTTAGCATGTGCATCACATACACATGTAAGAGCCCTCGGCAATAAGGAACTAAAGCAGAAGTTAGAGTTCGGGGTCTATGTACCTAATTTAGTAGGGGACAGGGAGGGAAGAAGGGCTCTTATGGAAAAGCAAATGACTTTCTGGAAAGATAAATGGGCCTAAAAGAATAGATGGCAGATATGATAGTTTATGACAAAATCTGTCTGGGTGTGGTACCAACTTCTCATTTACAACAAGAGACGAGTGTCGCTCCCAAGGAGGGGATGTATAACAACGGAGTTATTTTTGAGAGGACCTGCTTTTAGGCACAGAAAGATATCAGGAACTCAAATGCCTTCAGCCAGAATTAATTCTTATGCTTTGTATAAATGCTTATATAAAGTGGCATATTTTGGGGTGGCAGATCCTGATCCCCTTCACTCCTTTAAGAGTTTCCTTCAGGAAAACTTCACCTGATTCTCCCGGGCACAATCAGTGCCTAGGACTTCCTGACATTCCAAAAGACATGCTCCACACATGAGCCTAACCCAGCATCAGCGTTCCCAATCCGACCTCAGAGCTACTACACACTTCAACAAGCTCTCTAGATGCCTGGAAGGCTTGGACAGTATCTTCATTTTGCTATTCTCAGGACCAAGGTAATTACCAGCATCTAGTATTCACTTAGTAAATATTTGTGCAATGACTAGATGATTCAATGCAATGAATAAACTATCAAAGGTCACAAGTAAACTTTTATACAAATTCCTCTCCTTTAATAATTTTATCTGCTCCCCTAGAACTTTTTCCTCTCTTACCACTTTCTTTGACACAAACGTCAGGCTTGTGGCTACAAAGCACCATCGCAGACTTTCAGATACAGATTGTAAACTCTCAGTTTGGGATAAAAATAATTAATGAGTCCCAGTCTGCATGTATAAAATAAATACGCCTCCTGTTTCTTGATCTCGCAGGTCTTTAAAGTCCACCTTTCAAAGAGGATAATTTTACCCAAAATTTTCTCACAAAAATGCCACTGTCATAGGCTTATATGTAATCAAAGTGAGCCAGATTTCTATCACTATTTAATGGAATAGTCATATGTTGCTATAGAATTCCTAAGCTTTATTTTGCTGGCATGAGATAAGAGAAAGAAAATAAAAGAGGGATTAGCAGGATTTTTTTTTTTTTTTGGTCCATATTTGATTTGTGTGATGCCAAAAAAAACTATTTCTTGGGGTGCCTGGGTGGCTCCGTTGGATGGGCATCCAATTCTTGATCTCGGCTTGGGTCTTGATCTCAGGGTCATGGGTTCAAGCCCCATGTTGGGCTCCATGCTGGGTGTGGAGCCTACTTGGGAAAAAAAAAAACAAAAAAACTGTTTCTTTAGTTCTGTTACTAGGCTTGATCTTTTCTACAATGTAAACTTTCCTAAAAATGTATGGTATTATGTTTTTAACATATTCACTGATACAGTATGAAAAAGAGTTATTGCAACAGATCTTTTGGGGAAATATTTAATCGTCCAAATTAATCCAAATTTATTTACTCTGAGTGAAAATCGTATGTTTATTCAGAGTTATTGACTGCACTTCCGAAATTTGGACTTACCTATGTCTGTTGTGGGAAACAAAGGCAAAAGAACAGTTAAATTTCCTTACTACCTAGAGCCCACTGGCAAGTCCTTGAAACAGGCAAAGTGACCTTCCTCTGGGAGCTCAGCGGCCTTGATGTTAATACTTTACTAAGGGCAAAAGGCAATCCTAGCCTGACCTCCAGGATCCTGTGAGTCTACTTTAACACATAAAAATTCCTTTGGAAACTTCCTTTGTCTCTACCCCGCCCCCCAAGATACACGTTGGCAATCATCCTCCAAGCAGATGACCCACTGATAAACATCTGAAGAGTCCCATGACTGAGTTTTTACGAAACAGTAATAAATGACCTTTTCCTAACAACAGGTAGGTCCTGGAAACTAGAGACTCACGCTGTCCCCAACCCCTCCCAACTTGAAAGTACATAACAGGCCACTCCTCATGGCCCCGGCGCAGCTCTTCCTACCCACGGGTCCTGTCCATGTGCTTTAGGAAAACCACTTTTTTTGCACCAAAGACGTCTCAAGAATTCTTTCTTGGCCTCGGCTTCGAGCCCTAACATCTTTCCTACATCATATCCATTGATGTGGATTTTTAAAAATAGTACAGTATCATATATAGAAAATATCAAAGTACCATCTCATGTAATAAATAAAAATATCACGTCATAAAATTTTAGTTTCAAGTATGTATGTTTTTGTTTTGTTTTGATTTTATTGTGGAACTTGGAGTTTGCAAACTACGGATCCGCTTGTTTCTTTCATGCATTTGTGCGGTTCCCACGTTAGAAGCAGCTCCACATATCCAGGCTTCCCGGCTGCAACTGCCAGCCTCCCTGGCGGCTGAAATGGGGATGTGTGGCCAGGCTCCATGGATCAGCCTCACCTTCGAAAGACTTCTCTTCAAAGTTGCCGGACGGGACAGCAGACGCCGGAGCCTCACTTCGCTGGGAGAGGGGCGGACAGAAGCATCCAGGCTTTGGTGGTGGCAGCAGCCACGGGGTCCAGGGGGTCAGGCGCCCGCGGCCACGGCGTCCAGGGGGTCAGGTGCCCGGGGTGCCCTAGCATCTGTGGCCGCCGTGCCCGGCCGGCTCCGCAGCATGCTTTCAGCTTTTGTCCCTGGGAGCCGCTTCAGGCCTGGTTCCACAGCCCCTCCCCAGGACGCGGCCGTCTGTCTACCCCTTAAAACATCACCTCTCGTGTTTGATCAGCCAGAGTCGGCCTTTCTTTTTGCAACTAAGCACGTGGAGTTTAAAAAAAAAAAAAAAAAAAGGTATTACATGGTTTTAAATACTTCCTGGTGGTAGAATTTGTGTATTTTAGGTGCTTAAAGTTGCTTCCCAACAGTGATGTGTAAGGAAGGTAAAATTAGCAGGAGAAAAACAATACAAATTCTACTTTCCATGTGCACAGGAGTCTTCCCAAGAAAATGAAGACCCAAAGACGTGGCTAGGCCTGCGTACTTACAGCCTGGGTTGCATGAAGAGAGGAAATTATGGAACAGTGACTAAAATGATATAGGGAAGCTGAAGGAGGATAAGGGTTATTTTAACAAGATCCGTTTTTACAGATTTCTCTCCACCTCAGTTCGTGTCTCTGGTGAGAAGAATGTTCTTACCTCCTGGCGCAGGTGGGGACACCTTTCACATGGGAATTTCATCTCCTGCTTTCTGGAAGGAAAAGTAAGTTCAGAGCGCCCTTCTTGCATCGACTGGTTTTCAAGTGCCTTTAGCTGAAAATAATCAATATTCTGACTATCAAGTCCAATTGATTTGATCTTCGATATCGA